AATATACTCCAATGTAAAGTTTTTTTTTTATTAATTGACTCACCTTTTGTATTATAAGTTAAGTTGATTACCAAGTTGAATTATGCTTACTCTGAAAATTACATGAATTTCTGATTAAAATTAATTGTTATATTTTGAAATTTATTAAAATATTTAGATATTTTAATGGAAATCTATGGTAATAATTTAGCATTAAAATATTTGCTTTAAAACACTTAATTTTTTTTTAATAAAATTATTTGTCATAATTTACAGCATAATGATCACGAAGTATCATCAACATTAACAAAATAATTAGCAAGTTACACACGTTTGGCAAAGATATTTGGCATCTATTAATTATTTGTAAATTGTTAAATAAAGAATAAATCATGATCTTATATTATGATTATAATAAAAAAGTTAGAAACAAATAGTCAAAATTTCCAACATTCATACAAAAAAAATTTGGCTAAATTTAATGCACTAGTTTTGCTAAATTCCGGTAAATAATCTGGTAGTGATCTACAAATGATCGGCAAATGCCAGTAAAAATGTTGTAACTTGCTGATCATTGCGTTAATACTGATGATAGATACTTCATATAATGTTATAAATTATGGAAAATAATTTATTTAAAAAATAAAATATGATCAAATAAGTTAGTTTATCGTTGTATTAATACTAAAAGATTTCTATTAAAAATCTAATTTTTTTCCAATAAATTTTAAATACAAAAATCAATTTTAATTAGAAGTTCGTGTAATTTTCAGAGTAGGTGTAATTCAACTTGGTGATCAACTTTACTTATAATACAAAAGGTGGGTCAATTAATAAAAAAAAAACTTTACATTGGAGCATATTTGCATAATGATTATTGTATTTTACAGGTACTCACTGACTTTTTGTAGGCCACTGTACGTACAGTACACTCAGTGCAACCATACGTACATAGCTAAATTTCACCATACACTACACACAAGGGTCTCTATACACTACATGTTTCCTAATTGCCCCCATTTCCCGCAGGAATAGCATGGAATTGGAACTACCCCAGTGGCACCGACAAATTTTTTAGCGGTCACGTGATCGATTTTTGATGATCATAAATGGCAAATTTAACGAAAAAATTTTTTCTTTTTTATTTTTTAAATAAAACTTAACTCAGACATTATATCATTTTAAAACTCACACAATATGCCTACTCGTTCTGCAAGTTTACTTAGGCGATAAAGGTAGGTTTTGGATACAGAGTTTTGTAAAATTAATTATTTACAAATCATCATATAAAAAGTCAAAATCCATATTCAAAACCTACTTTTATCACCTAGGTAAACTTGTAGAGTGGGCAAAAATACACATTTCTTGTAAGTTTAAAAAATGTATGATATTTGTTATCAAGTTTTATTTTTATTTTTTATTTTTTCGTTAAAATTAACTTATCCATTTTAGGAATGATCTGTGAAATCAATCACGTGATTGCTAAAAATTTGTCGGTAGTTTTGGAATTGGTGATTTACGGACGTGTACAGTATTTTTTTGTCCCCTATGGTACGACATATTAGGTTTAGCTTGTATAGCTTACATGTATAAGCGCATTTTTCAAAATGAGTGACAATAAGATAATTATATATAATGCAGTTATGATCAAAGTGACAAGCTAAATGAAAACAGGACATATCAATGCATGAAGAGTGCATAGAACATTATTATAGTATGAAAGCAATTCGAGGTGGGCAGGCATGTTGCTATAGTAACACGCTTTCATTTTTTTTTATATCAATATGCACACACCAATGTAGATAATAGTGTAATTATGCATATATAGTCAAGTAAGTAGACATGAATATGTAAATCCATCAAGTGAAAGCATCTTCGCCAATGACATCATGTGACAAGACTCAGCATTTGCCAACTGCGGCACGTCTAAAAATAAAAAAAGGTTTAGGTTTTTATTATAAAATATTTAATTGTTAATTTTTTTTTTTTTTTAGAAAAAAAGCTTTTATTTGTTATTTATACTTTGCGCTGCTATTTGGTTATTTTTTTTTGCCATGATAAATAAAAAAGATACTTACTTGATTTGTTAAAAATTGCTTTATATATTCAACATCTTGGAAATAAAAGAAGTTATGGCTCCAGCGTTCGCAATTCCATTTTAAAAACGTGAGAATTCCTTCATGAGAAATTCCCGATACAATTTCTTGAATTTATCTTGAGATTTTTTCTTAATCATAGTTAGGGATGCCAACGGTCGGTTCGGTTCGGTTTCGGTTTTAAAACTGCAGTTTTCAACCAAAACCGAACCGACCGCAAAACCGACCGATAAAACTGAACTACAAAACCGATTACAAAAATACCGCAAAATCGAATAAAATAATGCCATAAAGTATCAATTATAACTTTTTGAATAATATTCTTTGAATTTATGTAATTATTTACAACAATAACGCCGATGTTGTGATTTTTTCAGAGAAACGAAAAATCACGTGATCAACGCGTAAATTCGATAATTTCAAAAATGAGAATATTATACATAAAAACACTAAAACAATAGTTTTTAATGGTATTCTCAATAAACAAAATCATTTTTTTTTTCCGGAATATATTAAAATTTACAATTAACCGATCGGTTTTTTGATCGGTTTTTTTTATATATAAAACTGACGGTTAACCGGTCGGTCTTGGACTGAAACCGAACCGATAACCGAACCGGTAAAAACCGGTTATGATCGGTTATAACCGAACTTTTGGCATCCCTAATCATAGTCTACATAAATTTTAGTGTAGGTATTGATGGAATTTTTTCGAAATCATTTAGTTTACTTGGTCGTGATAAAAGACTTTTTAGGATATGATACCCATTATTATTGCATTAACTTTAGAAAAAAAAAAATCGTTATTTCCAAATTAATAATAGAACGTATTTAATAAAAAACAATACTTAAACTTTTCCTACAAAAAAAAAAAAGATTATTGGACTTCTCTTTTAAGGAAACAAATAGAATAAAGAAAAAGAAGAAAAAAGAAAAAAGATTTATAAATTTTTTTTTTTTTTGTTTTGAATAAAAAAAGAAAAAATAATATTAACGAAAATATCTTCTGATTTTTGACGTATATAAAATTTTTTTTATTTATTTTTCTTTTATCTGTTATTAAAAAATTAAATAATATCATAAGATAGTAAAAACATTCCTTGAAATATTCTAAACAATAATAAAAAAAAAAGAGACAGAAATAAGCGGAGGAAAGCAATATTTTACAGATCCAAAATAGTATAATATCCCCCTTAATGATTAAACAGGATTCTAAAGATTAGGGTTTAGGATGTAAAAGTCACACTCATTTATGTATAATGTAAGCAATTATTTATTATTGAGTAATGAGAATAAACAGAAAAAAAAACAATGATTTTTTAAATCTTTGGTAGTGTTGCATGCAGACAATGGACTCTCTTTTAAAAAAGACTTTTGAGGTATGATGATAATGCATTTTATTCATTTACATTATTTCCAATTTTATACTTTCGGTGAATATTATCATTAATGAAATTGGAAATTAGGATGATATCGTAGGAAGAATGTGAAAAGTTTACCAATAGAAATAATCTAATTATGCATATGCACGACCCAATTTTTTAAAAACCTTCTTATTATAATAAAAAAGATTTCGGATTTTTTATTTTTATTATTTTTTTTTTTTTTTTTTATGGTAAAAACATTATCAATTTATTTGTAATAGATGTAGAACTAGTACAAAGAAAAAATTTACATAACACCATTTATACATATCAGAAATGGGATGGATTTTTTATTTTAAGTTTCTATGAGTTTAATTAAAGATAATATTTTCTTATCTATTTGATTACATCCGTATCCAACAATCAGAATCCCGCTACAACATAAACCCGACGCTCACAATCACATTATTATCGACACGTTATTTTTTTACTAGTACTTTTTTTATAGACGTAATATTATCTGTTATTGTTATATTTTTTAAAATATATCGCAAAATTTTTTAATGAATAAACGTGAATGAACGTATATTTGGAAACTATTTGAACTTTTTGAATTTGAAACAATATAAATTTAATAAATTCATCCAAACATTCATACTCGTTATTTGTTAAAGTAATTAAGATTTGAATGAGTCTATTTGATGTAAGGTAGAACGAGCCTAATTGATATACGGCAGATCAATCAGCTGATTTTTGTGCACTTTTCCTTTTCCTTTTCTTTCTTTCTTTTTTATATACTCTTTTATTAATTATATTTTTTCCGTTATTTTCACAATCTTTCACATTTACTTTTTATTCATTATAAATAATTTATCAAAGTCAGATGATCATGGTTGAAATGTCTAATATTTACCCGCTTTTAAAAGAAACAAAAACTTCAAATTATTTAAATTATTTTTATTTTAAGAAAATATTTTTTTTATTTTTAAATCATGTTTTTTGATCATACTTTTTACTATACTTTTAATTATTATTATTCATTATGTTTATAATTTTATACGTTTCTGGATTACCAACGATGTGGGCATTGATGAGACAGAAACCTCATGATGAAATTGAAGAAATTATGTCAAAATCTTCAGGAGATCATGAAATATATTTGGTAAAACCAAAACATTTCATTTTAATTTTTTTTTTTTCCTCATGAAAAGAAAAATGTTTTATAATTTATGTGATTTATGTCGTGAACTGTCCGCGGGCGGGCGCAGTACTTTTTTTTAACTATATTTTTGTTAGACTCGAATTGGTCCATTCAAACAAATTAGTTTTGTAAGTCCCGAATGTGTAAAAGATCTATTAATGGCACCGGGTAATATGAAGTTCAAGGATTTACATAAAGTAAAACCATAATTCTAAACTATAATCAATTAGAGGAGGATGTACCAAAATTTGAATTTTTTTATTCTAATGATGAAGTATGTATGATATAAATTTTTTTAATAATTACTATACCGTATTAATTTGATTGGTCACTTAACCCATTTATGGAAAACATATAGAAAGTTTGACTTGATTGATAAAACTACTCTGCAACTTTTTACGTTTATGAAAAAGAATTTAAGTGGACCGATCAATATTTTTACTTTATTTCAACGTATTACGATTGAAATATTGGGGAAAATGGCCTTCAGTCATCAATTTGGTGTAAACAAATTTTTAATTTGTTGGTATCTTGATGATCGGGGAAATAATTTGATCTTCTCTTTTCTAGTGTTTGAAATCACCCGAAATTCCTCATTATATAAATGTTAATAAACATAATATTTCATTCATTGGAACTCCTCTTCGTATGATATTTTCATTCATAAATGAAATTAATGAATTACCTTTGGAATCAAATAAAAAATTCTTTAAAGCTGTCGAAGAATTTGATAATTTTATTTATGAAATTATAGAAAAGAAGAAGGATGAAATGAAAAATAATAAGATTAATAACAAAGAAAATAGCACTGATTTATTAACTAAAATGTTAGAATATGGTGAACAAGAAGAAATTAATACCAATTAATGGATGAGATGGTAAATAATTTTGTTGTGGGTCATGACTTAGTACTTGAGTTATAACAATAGGGTTGTAAACAATTAGGTTATAAAATTGATTTATAGCAATTTGGTTGTAACAATTGAGTTGTAACAATTAAGTTGTAACGATTGGTCTTTTTTAATAGCCACGTCAATTGCATTAGCTACGTCATTTTATTATCTTGCAAAATATCCCGTAAGTCGATAATTATTATTATTATTTTTTTTTTTTGTATGATTTTGGTATAATATTTTTTCATTTTGAATAGGAAATGCAAGAAAGAACTAGATCAGAAGTAATTAATATACTTGGAAATAATCTAACCATACCAACTTCAGAACAATTAAAAGTAAGTATATAAGTATAATAGTATATGCCAGAATTTTTCGTTCATCTCTTTTTTTGCCATGTATATATATGCAAACATTCAACCTTTTCATTATTTAGGAAATGAATTACGTTAATGCAATCATTAAGGAATCTTTAAGAATTCATCCACCAACTACATTAACAAATTTTCGAAAACCATCAAAACCGATTAAAATTGGATCTTACGTTGTACCTAAAGGTGTCTTGTGTATCATGAATATATGGCAAATCCATCATAACTTTAAATACTGGGAAAATCCAAATCAATACAAATCCTGATAGATTTTTAATGAATGAAAAAAGGCATCCATTTTTTTGGATCCTATTTTCTGCTGGCCATAGGAACTGGTACGTATTTTTTCACCATAAGCATTATGGAGAGTCCTAATTTGGTTACTTGATTACTTTTTTTATTTATTTATTTATTTATTTTTTCTTAGAATTGGACTAAATTTTTACTTTAATGGAACAACGAGCTATATTTTCCGTGTTTTGTAAGTTATTATAATGTCTTTAATCTTTAACAAATATATTTTTATTTTATTATATAATAAAATAAAAATATATTTGTTAAAGTATTCCAAAAGATAGTATTAACAAAGAAAAGTCGATTTTTCGTTCTTAATTTTTATTACGACCAGTTAATATTGAACTTTTGTTTACTGAAAAGAATCTGTTTACCGAAAGTAACTAAAATTATTTTAAAACATTATTATTATTTTTTTTTTTTGTGTGTGTGTTTCTTATTGTAAATTTCTTAATTAATTACGGGACGATAGTATAATTTTTTTTTAATAAACTTTGTTGAAATGCATTAAATTGTGTCCAAATAATATGCCCAAAAAGTTGAATAAATCAAATGAGTCACTTTAATATATATCCTTTTTGCATACTCACACAAATCACGTTTCAATTTATTTGAAAATATCATAAGCTTTTTGCAAATTAATTTGGCCTTTGTATAAATTTTATACTATTTGTGTAAGCTATTAAAGTTTCATATGGTAGAATATATAATCCAATATTTAACATGTAGTGTATTCCAATGATACACCCAGCATGAAATTATTGCAATCACATAATTTCAGATTCAGTTAAATTGAAAGATTCATAAAATTAAAATCTATACAACTAAAAAAATTTGTGATATTTAAATTACACTAACTGATTACACTGCAATAAATAAATCTGAATTGTGTAACGTCCCAACAAATTATTAAGGATTGCTATCATAGAATTACGTAATGGTATGATAATAATTTGATCGTTTTTTGATTACATCACTATTTTTTGCTAAAAATTTTGATTATTTATCGGTGAACGATGTCATTTTTCATAACATATAATTTTTTATCACTGAAAGTATAATGAATTCTTTAAGTTCACTATTATATTATAAAATCTAGGAAAATTCTTAAAAATAATTTCAAATTATTTGAGTTAATCTATTAATATATTCTAAAAATTTTATTAAAAGATTATTTATTAATAATATAAACTGAGGAATGAGGTAAAAGACGTAAAACAATTTATTATATATATTAAAAAAAAAGTTTTTCTAAAAAAAAAAATGACTTATAGTATTAAAGTTCAAAAAATGATAATACTTTAATTTTGTAAATAATTATAGAATTTGACACAAACAATTAAAAGATCATATCAGGTATACTAATTTCTTGTAGCACAGGCATTATGATTAATTGGCGACCGATAAAAGATCGGTAGGAATTATCAGAATTACACAAAATAGGAACGATCTACATGTTATTTTTAGGTTCCCTTGTTGCCTTTTTATGGAATACTAAATAAATTGTACAACAAACGTTCCGACAATTGATAAATTAATTCCATTTTGAAAATGAAGGCCTCTCATCTTTCCTTTACCAACATGGCATGCTCAAAAATATTTTCAGGAGATTTACCCGAATTAACATATAAAATTGTGCAGTATTTTAGAAAAGATTTTTCAACATTGTATTCATGTATTTTAGTTAATAGATTTTGGTGTCGTTTAGCGATACCATTATTATGGGAAGATCCATTTTCGGCTCCTACCAAAAATTATCATTGTATTGAAATTTATTCACACTATTTTAATGAAGATAGTAAAGCAAAATTTAATGGATATGGAATTTATGATTTAGTACCTACATATACATTATTTAATTATCCTAGTTTTATTAAATATTTAAATATGCAAAATATTCGTCATTCTATTGGAAAGTGGATTGAAACTTTGATGAAATATGATTATTGTAATAAGCTAGGAAATTTAGTTTATAAGTCATTGTTCGAAATATTCATTGGAAATGGAGGAAATTTACATTCTTTTGAAGTTGTAATGGCCATGGATAGTGATTTTAATTATACTATTATGGAATTAATTTTACAAAATCCAAATTTTATTTACAACATCAGAAATATAAAATTCTTCTATAATTATAACTCTTCACCTTCAAATATTATGAATATCATTCCTTTTTTAAAATTTTTATATTCGAATTGTTATTCAATCTCATCAATTATTTTTCATTTTCATATATTTAATGTTAATAGTAATGATTTTTCATTAATTGAAAAATGTTTCTCACAAATAATTATTTCTCAACATAATCTCAAAATGATTTCATTTGGATCTAATGATATTTTACATAATCCATTTTTATCATTAAAAAATTCTCTTTGTTCAAATACTTTAAATACAATTATATTTGATAGTATTGATTTTAGAAATATAATTACTATTTTACAAGAAGTATTTGATCAATTAAATGTTTTAGAATCTATTCATATTCTTTATTGTGATTCTTTAAATTCTAATTTTGTTCAACAAATTATTAAGGTCATTAAACCTTTTAAATTAAAATCTTTATTCATGAATGAAATATTAAATGTTGAATCATTACTACTTCTATTACAAAAATTTGGTGATTATCTAGAAAATTTTGGTTTTGGATTTATAGAAGAAACTAAATATGATGAACCAAAACGACAATTGCTTGAATTTATTTTGAAATATTGTACAAACCTTATATATTTTGATCCGGGTACACCTGATGATATTAATATTTACTCACTAATTCAAAGTGGACAAAATATTAACTACCTTACTATTGAATTGGATGATTTCATTTATCATACAATTTATAAAGAATATAGTTCAAATGTATTAAAAAATTTAGGACAAGTTCTTCCTTCTAATTTAGAATATTTATGTTTATCAATTTCATTTAATATACATGATTTAAAAATATTTTTAAATAATTCACAAAATATTTTTATAAAGAAATTATTAATTAAAAATATTGATGGAGAAAGAGATATTTTATTTTATATAAAAGAATATATTATGAAAAAGGAAAGGGTTAAATATTTTGCTTTTTTAGATGCAGAGAATGAAGAGAATGAAGGTTATAATAAAGAGTTGGTTTTTTTAAAAGATGAAGTAAATGAATTTAAATTATATAATATTATAGTTCAAAAATATGTTGATTTATATATTACTGCAAGTAGTTTTTTAGAAGATTATTACATTTTAAATAAATGATTTAATAACTTGCATGTGTATCTTAAAAACTGAAAGATACAAAATATTTCAATTATTAATATACTGTAACTATTAAATTAGGCTAAATGTATGGCAACTTTGTTGCCATCAGATCAATATTAATAAAATTTTTTTTATTTGTATTAATAAATAAAATCTATAAAAGATTACCACTGTAAATATGAAGCCATTAAATGTTAAATCATGAATACCTTTAGGTACGACCATTAAGTTTATAATGATGAATTTAAGGTAATTGATCAGCTTGGACATTGTAGGTTAGTGACATATACGAATTCTTTTTACTTAAATGATAATTTTTAAAGTTCGGGGCATTCTTTTACTTTTAAATAACATTTGGAATAAAACATTATCCTCAACGAATAAATAATAACTTAAAATTGGTAAATTTAATAGTTTTTTTTATAATTCAGGGTATAGCATTTCTACAAAAGTAAATGTTAGTTTATGTGGTTTCAAAATTTAAAAGATTTTGAGAGATTTATATTAATTGAGAAGTATGAGGTTTATAAAATCATTGAAATAAGTAACAGTTATTTCACGGGGATTCCACAGTAACTCCGTGAAATAACTGATTTATATCACGGTATCTGTACCATAAAGCCTTTTAATATACATATTTGGACTAACAATGATAGACTTTTTATTTCAATATTGATAGACTTTTTTACCCATCTTTTAAAATAAACACCACCCGTGTAAATATCAAGAAAAAAAATCACGAATTTTAACTAGGAACTGTGGGATAAAAAGTATTACTAACTAATACTTTTTTTCATTCTAGAATTTAGGCCAATTTTAATATGCATATCATGTCACAGTTGATGCATCTCAGATACAGTAGTAATGGCTGTTTAAGTGTTTGTCATTAGATCTCTATATATAAAGATGGTATCTCATATTTAGTAAACTTTGCACTTGTTAATTATGGCTAGTATATGCACAACTAAATTTTGTCCGTGACAAGATGTGCCAATTAGACCTAACCACCTGTTAACAGTGTAACAAAAATAATATAATAAAAAACTGCTATCTAAATAAAGCGATATGATATGATATAATATAATACAGTAAAAAAATATTACTGGAATTATGGTAAATTTAATAAATTTAAAGAATTTAATTTTGGATGTTCATATTACAATTTGTTTGCAGAATATTATTAATTGTGTGCGCACAATTAATTATCTAGATAATTTGAGTTCATTGATCCATGAGCTGTTATTAGTTCAATATTTAAATAATTAAAATTTACCCAGTTATATTACAAGATTTTAAGATAGTGTCTTTTAAAGTATCTTAAATATTTTATTAAAAAGTTATTCATTAATGATATAATCAAGAAGAAGGTGAAAATAATTACATTATAAATTATGAAAAAATTTTTCCTCTGAGAAATGAAATAAATGACTTAATTCGTGATCAAATAAAAGGTAAAAAAATTATTGTAAAAATTAAACTGTTTAAAACTTTGGGATAAATATTATGTATTAAAATAAATTTTGCACTGAAATCATATATGAATTTTTTGCGGTTGACTTACGGATCATGAATTAAATTAAAGTTCAAAAAATAATGATTTGTAAATAATTATAGGATTTGACACACCCAATTAAAAGATTATTTCATAGTGATTCATATACATATACTAATTTCACATGATTATGAATAAAACAAATTAATCGATGACCTATAAGAGATCAGCAGGAATTATCTGAACTACATAAAAAAGGAACGATTTACGTATCATTTTTGGTTCCCTTGTTGCCTTTTTATGGATTAATGGAAATTGTACAAATATAAATTTATTTACATTTTGAAATGAAATCCTCCCCTTTCTCTATTCCAACATGGCATGCTCAAAAATATTTTCAGGAGATTTGCCTGAATTAACAAATAAAATTATAAAGTGTCTTAGGAAAGATTTTTCAACTTTGTATTCATGTATTTTAGTTAGTAGGTTATGGTGTCGTTTGGCGATTCCATTATTATGGGAAGACCCTTTTAATATTCCTACCCAAAATTATTATTATATTGAAATTTTTTTATCCTACCTGAACGAAAATGATAAAAAAAAATTCAATGAATATGGAATTATTAATGACTTATTACCTTCAAATACATCATTATTATTCAACTATCCTAGTTTTATTAAATATTTAAATATAGAAAGTGTTTATTCTTCTATTGGAATGTGGTCTCGTTCTTTAGTGGTTTATGATTATGAGAAGCTAAAAAAACTAGTTTATAGATCATTATTTGAAGTGTTCATTGAAAATGAAAGAATTTTACGTTCTTTTGAAATTGAAATTCATACGAATTTTTATTGTAAATACAGTAATGATATTATGGAATTGATCTTACAAAACCCAAATTTTATATATAATATCAAAAATTTTAAAATTCATACTAGTAATATTTCAGAAAAAAATATCAAAAATGCTATCATTCCTTTTTTAAAATTTTTATATTCTAATTGCAATTCAATCTCATCACTTCACTTTGTTAATTGTTTTATCATACGTGATGTTAAGAAATTTTCATTAATTGAAAAATATTTACAACAATTAATTATTTCACAACATAATCTCAAAATAATTACATTTGGACGTCATAATAATTTATATAATCCATTTTTATCATTAAAAAATTCTAATTGTTCAAATACTTTAAATACAATTATATTTCATTATACTAACTTTAGAAATATAAATAACATTTTACAAGAAGTATTCAATCAATTGAATGTTTTAGAATCTATTCATATTCTTTATTGTAGTTTAAATTCTGATTTTGTTCAACAAGTTATTAAGGTTATTAAACCATTTAAATTAAGATCTTTATTCATGAATGAAATATTACATATTGAATCATTACAGTTACTATTACAAAAATATGGTGATTATATAGAAAATTTTGGATTGACCGTATCAAATTTTGGTAATACTAATGAGTATGAAGAATCAAGACGACAATTACTTAAATCATTTATAAAATATTGTCCAAAAATTAGATATTTTAGTTCAGATAAACCTAATGACATTAATATTTATTCATTAATTGAAAATATTGGACAAAATATTAATTATCTTACTATTTTAGTGCATACTTACGATTATCATACATTTTATGATGAATATAGCTCAATTGTATTACAAAATTTAGGACAAGTTCTTCCTTCTAAATTAGAATATTTATCTTTGTCACTTTCATTTAATACAAATGATTTTGAAATATTTTTGAAAAATTCTCAAAATACTTTTATTAAGAAATTATTAATTATAAATACGATGAAAAATGAAGGAGAAAATGTCTTATTTTACATAAAGAAACATATTATGAAAAAGGAAAAAGTTAAATATTTGGCTATTTTATTAGAGTCACAACTTATTTGTAATGATGGTAAAGAATTGTTTTCTTTGAAAGATGAAGTAAATGAATTTAAATTGCATAATATTATAGTCCAAAAATATCGTAATTTACTTATTAATGAAAATGATATTGTTTACAATTTTAATAAATAAAATAACATGTTACATGTTTTAATAACCTGATGTAATATAAGCACTGTATATTACAATTCATGAATGTAAAGTAAAAATGGGACAATCTAAATACAGTACCTACTGTATATCGGCCAATCAGATTTGAAAGTGATTATTTTTTTTCTTAGCAAACCATTCGGCTGTTTAATTATTAAGAAGCACATAATGATTTCTGAACGCATTTTTCATATAAATTGCACGCTCTTCAAAACAATCAAGTGTATTTATAAGTTATAGCAGTGATTTCACTTTATAAACATATACCATACATCATATCATATCACCCACACACATATAAGAATATTATTCTTCGGAGTTTAATGGTACAAGATCATAGCAGATGATTTTTATACACTACTTATTTTTATTTTGATTCTTTTAAGGGGATTATATCTAAGGAGTTTCTTTATCTGTGGAGAACAGGTTCATCACGCATATATGATATTTGTTCAGGAGTTGTAGTACTGCCAGTCCTACACTTTCTGTATTTGAAGTCCTTCACGATTCTTTCACTATGTTCCTACGATTGTAAAGAACAAATGAAAGTAGTAAACAAGATTCGTTATTGTTGACAAAAAAAATACATGCTTTTAAAGCAATAAGATGACTAATTGAAAAATCTGCTAATGGGATTGATGCTTTATCAATCATTGTTGTTTGAAATGCCCATGAAGAATATAATCCATCATATCTCAAATTCATGAAATATGTTTTCATCAAATCATGCACCTGATTATCAGAAGATACTTTAATATTTTAATACACACAAAATAACAACTTTCTAAATAATCTCTCATTTACCTATATTTAAGAATATGCCCACTTCTCCTGGATCTCCTTTGCTTCGTAGCTGTTGATTTATCAATTTTTGTGCTTTTAGCTGTGCTTTAGCTGTACTTTCACCTCATCTTTATTACATTGTAATGGTATGCTACCAAGAGGTTTGAATTCTGAGTTAAGGATTGGTATATCTTCTATGACACAACTAAAGACTGGCCTCTTTGTTAAATTTTTATTGGCATGATTCAATGTTAGTTCATATTCTTTTTTTGAATTAGAGAATATTGGACGGGAGATTGGGTGAAGAAACTTGTAACAGTGCTCATTCTCAGTCATCTTTTGTGGTGCAATGTCTGGAATACAGTTATACCTGTAATGCATTAAAAAGAATATTACAATGTAACTCATGAGCAGTTATTATAAAATAAGTTAACTTACAAATCATTAAATGAGTACGCCACTATTCTGTGGAAGAAGAGATTCTTGAATCTTGTATGGGTTGGTTGACATTATTTCCTCCCATTCTTCAATAGTAAACAAAGGATACAGACAAGGCCAATGGAATACCATCATTGACAATAAAGTTCTAAAATTAACAGAAGAATGATTAACATAAATCATTGGCTGGTCAATTTTACGAACACTTACAAAATTTCATGTGTCATCATATTTCAACCCTTCGGTTTTTGCTTTTTCAAGTGCTTTCATCTGGTATTCTCTAAATCTTTTTGATATATTGATATAAGGATGCAGACTGTGAGATATGGAAAATAATAAAAACATAAGGAGTGGTATACCTCATTGGTCAATTCTCGAAACAAATCCTTTTCAAGGTTGGTAAAATCAAAAGTTATTTCACTGTTATTTCTTCATCTTCCTCATTAGAAGAAAAAGGAAACTTAGAAGAAAACTTTTCACCTGAATAATTTGTTTACATAGTAATTTTCACACGCTTTTTTGTCTAAATATAGAAAATATACATGAATTTTTAAGTTCTCTTAACCTACTACCTAGAATTTTTTACCTTCTTGCATGTAGATGCATTTTCCCTGACTTCATTCTTTTGTTTATAACTCGCTGGTAATTGTACCCCTTCATTCAATAGTTTCTGCAAATGTGCATAACTGGCAAGCTTTTTATAGAAAAAAAAAATAGATGGGTAAACATAATCCTGGATATTTCCCTGATTTTAATATCTGTGGATTATTGAAAAACATACATCGCTTTCCTCATTGTCCATTTCATTGAGAATGTCTTCATCTATTTTCTACTGTTTAATAAGTACATTTGTTGATACTTCAGCAGGACTTTGAAAGAAATCCTACAAAAATACAATGAAACATACATAAATAGCGAACTTACACTATTCTTTTTTGTGGATCATGGCATCATTAATTACCTTTCTCTTGTGTTTCAATTCACTTTCCAGAATCTGACTCCGTCTTTCTCCCATAAGAGCAGAGTGAGTTGTTGCTGCTTCGGATTTGTCGATAATGTATTTGAGCTGGTAGAAACATGTCAATTTACATATGTAATAAACAATTAATATATAAAAACTCCACATCCGAAATGGTTGTTTGTAATTTGGTTTCCTTTGATACAATTTCCAACCTATTATCAAAGATCAGAGATTTTTTGCTGATCCCAAAAATTCCGTACTTCTAAATTTTTATTATTATAAGATTCAGGTAATGCAGTTAGTGCTCTGAATCAATAGCAACTATATGCTTGGACGCAGTTACAGACTGAACAAGGCTCAGGGACCATCACTTGGTTTGGCTCAGGGACCACCCAAATGTGTTCAGCAATAGACTGAGGCATCCTACCAAGAGATATCAGAACTCATGGCCTATCACTACACTGTTGATCGAACTGGACAAGGCTCAGGGACCTATCATTTGGTTGGCTCATGGACCTCCCAAACGTGTCCAGCAATAGACTGAGGCATCCTACCAAGATCCATAATGAAATTGTGGGATCAAGGCTCGTCCAACAGATTCCAAGCATATATTGTATCATATTATTTAAACATTTTTACCTTAAACGAAAGTACCAATTCTTGAGCCTTTCGCGATGCAAAATCACTATATACTGTAGTTGAGAGTTATTAACAATATTTTCAATAAAGCTCTTCCAGGTGCTATATTCGAGTGACATTTGTAATACTTCATGTTGCTTGGATCTCCAACTCAAAAAGCTGACAAGTGACCATTCTGACGGTTCAGTCTCCTTAAAATATTCTTCTCTTTTAACAGCAGACATGTTCGAATAAACCAAAGTAAAAATATTGCTACCAAGCCACTTTTTAAACAAAGAAAATGAGTCATTTCGGAAACGTGTGATCAACATCAGAATTAAGCATCTTACCCAGTAACACCATCAAAAAAGCTCGGGCATTTGATTTTGTTACATACGGCGCAGTTTGTGGTAACTGATCTATTTACGCGTATTATTTAAGCTATTATTTAAGCTTTCTTTTCACGTCTACATTACCAAATACCAAGAATACAATTTTTTTTTTAAAATAAAAGGTTGGCTTATTTTCTTTACAATAGCTATAAATCTTTTAAAACAAAACTGGCAGAAAATATGAACCTGTAGAAATAAACCTGATATCTTGGAAATCGCCAAGTAAGCAATAATACCGGTTCAACAAACTAAATTGCAACTGTTATTTTGACTAATTAATGCTACCTTCCCTTCTAGAAGAGCAAAAACTAGTTTGTATTATAAAGTAGTAAGTAAGTCATATAGTTCTATTAATAAATTAGGTGAAGACGTTGAACATTATCAAAATAAGTGAACCATGCCATTAAAATGGAAGGGAATACTGATAGCACTCATTATTTACAATAATTTATTTTAAATTAATGTATTTTAATAAATTGAAATTGAATAAATTTTATTGTTAAATTAACATTACATTCTATTTTAATAAAATAATTACTCTAATTTTATTAATTTAAAAGAATTTGTTTTTACTCTTATGAATTAACATCTATAAAATTTCATTATATTCTCAAGCAATCATCTTTAGAGTGGAGATCTTAAGGTAAGGAAAGTTAGTTTAGGTTGAAATACTTATCTTTGAAGATAACATTGACGTTGGAGTATCTTAGGGTTAGGGTAAGGAAAGTTGGCTTAGGCGGAAATACTTATCCTTGAAGATAACGTAGACGTTGGAGTATTTTAGGGTTAGGTAAGGAAGGTTAGTTTAGGCTGAAACTTTTACCTTTGGATTCTTAAGGTCGATAACTGCGTAGTGCAATTTCCATAGCCACACTTAGCCACAGTCATATCACATGAATCACGTGTCTGAGCTTTTTTTAATGGTTACGCTGGGGAAGTTCAGAATTAATTATACTAATCGCGTGACTTTTGATCAGCCCATTTATTTGCTCACATACAAAATACAGTACATTGTTAAAAATAAAAGCCCATATACTGTATCGGGCAAAACTTTATTAAATTTTCAGATAATGCATCTTCTACTAAGAAATATAAAAAATGTCTGAGCAAAGAACCGACCAAAGAAAAGGATAGCGATTGAAATAAATGATGCTATCAAAGAGGGAGGGAGTACGCAGATCCTAGGCCATTTAATGTAAGTCCCAGCAACAAGTTATTTCTTTACTCTCTTACATTTATGAAGAGTCTCTATAACTAATTTGTTTATACTTTTATTGCTAATTACGTGATAACCCTTTACTAACCACTCAAAACAGTGTGAATCATTTTGCCTCTTACAGTATTTACAGGTAACGTCTCCGGGAGAAAGAAAAATACGGATCTGGCAGTCTGCGACCTTGGATTGTTTTATTTTAAAATTTGTTTAAATAGCGTAGACTTATTTTCTCAAATACTTCCGAACGAAGAGTGTGGTCCTAACTGATGGGATGAAAGTTAGAGATCTACACATATAGACAGTTCAATTAAGCACTTCGGTGCTAAATACGTGTTATTTGTAATATACTTTAATTACCACTCTTTTAGAAATAAAATAAATAAATAATTAAATTTCGGTATGTTGATTTTGTTTTTTTTAAAAAATTTCTTGTTTTGACTCGATTTTTTTGCTTAAATAAAATTTTTTCAAACTTTCCTTTCTTTGGTTGGCTTTTTTTTAAAACCAAAAAATTTCTTTTTTTTCGGTTTAGCTTTTTTCTTAATTGAAATTTTTTTTTCCAAATTTTTTAGTTTTTTTTAACTGTTTGGTTTTTTTTTTAAACCAAAAAAATTTTTGCTTTTTAGTTTTTTTTCTATATTTTTTATATAATTAATCTTATATATTTTTATCAACTTATAAAAATATATCATTATTTATTTTTGTTTTTAGGCTTGAATCTGGATCAGATCGATACTGCTAGCCATGGTAGGCGCCTTTTTTTTCAATTTCTTTTTCCTTTATTTATTTATTTTTTTTTTACTAATATTTTTCTTTTAATAATTTTTTTTTTCGTTCCTTTGTCATTTACTGTAGGTTCAGATTGGGGAAATAATTGAAATAAAGATATATAATACATTTAGTCTAAAAATTTTTTTTTACTTGAATTTAATACATATAAATGGAACGCGCAAATTACATGTACTGTACGATCAACTTGCATTGAAATTTTTTTTTTGTTTTTAAAATTTCTCTATCCATTAATCTGATCAATCTGAATATATTTTTCGTATCCATTCAATCATTCATAATATAAAGAATTTATTTTTATTTCATTAATTCATTTTTTTAAGACTTATATCCAACCACACATTTTGGGCAAAACAAATACGTTTATAGATAGTCAGTTCAATAATATTTGATCAAGTTTGATGGAAATTTAAAATTATTTAGAGATAGGAGAATCAATATGCATTTTACAGGGGAATTCGTCTTTTGTTGCTTAATTTTCTGTATTGAAATACATCTATTATTTTTTCAGTTTTTCTAAACGGAATTTTTTTTTGAAATTTCAGGGTTTTAAACGATTTTGAAAAATTTATCATAATCTTTATTGTTCTGATGCTACACACACATACATTGTTGATTCTGATAAAACAACATTTTGGTGAAAAAATAGGAATTTTTTGCGCTAATTTTTTATTTTTATCTTTATTTTTATTTCTCAACGTGAACAAAGTTACAGAACAAATTACAAAGAAACTGAATTCTAGAATCAAAAACTAAGTAGTTCAAAATTAGCTGAACGATAATTTTTTTGATTGCGAAATATCTTTATACAAATCTTTTTAATTTAATTTTATTTTTATTTTAAAATTGTGACAGACCGCAAAGGCGTTACAAATTTAGGAGTTGATAGCTTGTCTTTATACAAATCATGAATGGAGTCACGAGATACAACAATGTTTGATCTGTTCACGTGACTGTGCACTGTGTTGATTCTGTATGACCTTCATCCTGGCCAAATTATTGTATAATTGGCTGAAACTATCTAAAGCCTGCTAAAAATTGCTACAGATCTGGTTCAAATTATCAGAATTATAAAAAAATTTATTGGCAGATCTAAAAAAAAATTTCGCCACATGTAATAAGATGTTATCCATATCCACCATTATTTATATAACGTGAAGATGTCATTCTAACAGTTTTGAAATTTTTATAGATAAAACACCTAATATCTCTTAATGTTCTTTCTTCAAACTCTTCCTTGCATAAAAGAGACTTTATTTTTACCTTGCTTTCTATATTTTAATAAAAGTATAATAGTCCTTTCTTTATGCTTTTTTGATAAAATTTTCCTGAAACATACCGTATGCCGCTGCATATAATATCCCAAAGATAATACCCCGTGATTAAGACCTTGTATTGTACATGACATAAAATTCTTAATTCTGGTAGAAAAAGGCTAATTTTGCCATTTACCTCACAACACCCATGGGTACTATTCAATTTAAAAAGTCGAGTTTTTGAATAAGACCTGGGTATTTTATGCAGTGGCCAACGGTAAGAATGATTGGTTGATTCTAAAATCGATTCTTATTTTAAGAATTCCCTAACAGAATGAAAATTAAAAAACAAAAGATTTTTTTTTGTTTTCATGATCCGGTTTTCAGGTTGATACAAGTTTATATTTTTAATAAATACACAGTGAAATTCGATAAACCGGATTTGCGCCTAAACCGGACTTTTTTGCTGGAACCAAATCACGTATATTAAAATAGGTTCGATATACCGGAGTTTACTAGTAAAAGCTCGATATTCGCTATAACGGATCAATTTTCTAACCAGCTATAGTAAAAATGATTCGATAAACCGGATAACGTGACTGGGAACCAATAAAATTTAAGTGACGTGATGCGGTAAATCCTAAATTTGGCCGGAATTATAAAAATCTTAATTCCGGCTGAAGTTATGTATTACTTTTAAAATATTTTATATTCATTTTCATGACCTCTATAACTTAAAACTAGATGAAAAAATCAAATTATAGTGTATATTAGTTTTATTAGCATGAAAATTTTTTAAAAATTCAATATAATAGATTTTCAATATATCGAAATTTTTTCGCTAAACCGGATATCCCGATAAACAGGATATTTTTAGTGGAACCGATAGATCCGGTTTATCGAATTTCACTGTGTATAGAATTTTAATAAATATAATAAAATGAAACCATTTAATTTCTTTAATAAAATCTGAAATGCCAAAACTATCATTAATTCATTATCCCCTGATCGGGCATCATTTACACGATTATACAAATGTAGTTATACCTATTAGGTAGCATGTATTTGTTTATCCGTTCCTAGGAGATTTCAGTAAAAATTAACTATTAATTATATATATTGTAATAGACGGATTTGAAAATTTGAGTGATTCAGAAAGATTTGCATTTTTCAAATGAGAAAAACTTTCTTTTAATTTATTCGTAATATCAATGTTATTTTTCAAGTGTAATAGTAATAGCTCCGAAGCTTTTTAAAATTTAATCGTTTTTTTAAAATTTTTTAAAATGAAAAAAAACCAAGCGAAAGAAAATAGGATTCAATAATAAAATATACTATATTTATTTACTCATAATATACTATAAAACACTTATTATTGTGTGAATAATGGCAGGGGATGAATCAATTATATCCTGGCTAATTGGAATAGTAAAATTTTACTTTCCTATCGGCCGATCATTTATCCGATTCTAGTAAAATTTTACTTATTCCTGATTAGTCACTGTGTAAAAATTTTTATTTACCAATTATATTGTTTGTTGAACGTAAATCTTTAATCATGTGGTTCTAAATGTTATGGTCGGCTGATCTGTTGTGTCCATATATCGGAATACTCCGAAAAATTTTATAAATTTTATTTGTTGAAAATTTTTAAGCATAATATCTTTCCCCCTTTCCTCTTTACAATATGGCATGCTCAAAAATATTTTCAGGAGATTTGCCTGAATTAACAAATGAAATTATAAAGTGTCTTAAGAAAGATTTTTCAACATTATATTCATGTATTTTAGTTAATAGGTTATGGTGTCGTTTAGCGATCCCATTATTATGGGAAGACCCTTTTTGTATTCCTACCCAAAATTATCGCTGTATTGAAATTTATTTATCCTACCTGAACGAAAATGATAAAAAAAAATTCGATGAATATGGAATTATTAATATCTTATTACCTTCAAATACATTATTATTCAACTATCCTAGTTTTATTAAGTATTTAAATATAAATAGCACTTATCATTCTATTAAAATGTGGGTTGGTTCTTTGGTGAATTATGATCATGAGAAGCTAGAAAAACTAGTTTATAGGTCATTATCTAAAGTGTTCATTGAAAATGAAGGAATTTTACGTTCTTTTGAAATTGTAATGTATGCGGACGTTTATTGTAAATACTTTAACGATGTTATAGAATTGATTTTACAAAATCCAAATTTTATATATAATATCAAAAATTTTAAAATTCATACTTGTAATATTTCATCTCGAAATATCGAAAATGCTATCATTCCTTTTTTAAAATTTTTATATTCTAATTGCAATTCAATCTCATCACTTCATTTTGTTGCTTATTTTGCTTTATATAATACTAAGAATTTTTTATTAATTGAAAAATATTTACAACAAGTAATTATTTCACAACATAATCTCAAAATAATTTCATTTGGACGTCATAATAATTTATATAAACCATTTTTATCGTTAAAAAATTCTAATTGTTCAAATACTTTAAATACAATTATATTTCATTATACTGACTTTAGAAATATAAATAATATTTTACAAGAAGTATTCAATCAATTGAATGTTTTAGAATCTATTCATATTCTTTATTGTTATTTAAATCCTGATTTTGTTCAACAAGTTATTAAGGTTACTAAACCTTTTAAATTGAGATCTTTATTCATAAAAGAAATATTACATATTGAATCATTACAATTACTATTACAAAAATATGGTGATTATTTAGAAAATTTTGAATTGACCATATTACATACTGATGGGTATGAAGAATCAAGACGACAATTACTTAAATTAATTATAAAATATTGTACAAAAATTAGATATTTTACTTCAGATAAACCTAATGACATTGACATTTATTTATTAATTGAAAATATTGGACAAAATATTAATTATCTTACTATTCTAGTGGATAATTACGATTATCATACATTTTATGATGAATATAGCTCAATTGTATTACAAAATTTAGGACAAGTTCTTCCTTCTAAATTAGAATATTTATCTTTGTCACTTTCATTTAATACAAATGATTTTGAAATATTTTTGAAAAATTCTCAAAATACTTTTATTAAGAAATTATTAATTAAAAATACGATGAAAAATGGAGGAGAAAATGTCTTATTTAACATAAAGAAACATATTATGAAAAAGGAAAAAGTTAAATATTTAGCTATTTTATTAGAGACACTTCCTAGCCATAATGATGGTAAAGAATTGTTTTTTTTGAAAGATGAAGTAAATGAATTTAAATTGCATAATATTATAGTCCAAAAATATCGTAATTTACGTATCATTGGAAATGATATTGTTTACAATTTTAATAAATAAAATAACATGTTACATATTTTAATAATCTGATGTAATATAGAAGTTCATGAATGTAAAGTAAAAATGGGACAATCTAAATACAGTACCTGCAACAAAATTCATATTATATCAGTTTATGAGGAAGCCTTTTACATTATTAATAATCCAACTAATCATTACCAAATAATATAGAATATCTGATAGCTCATAGAAATACAGAATAGTAATTTGCGATACGAGTAATCATTATTAATGAAAGATTAAAGGAATCACAGTATGTTTCTTCCGGCAATAAAAAATTAAAGTATAATACCAAGAATGCCAAGATAGTAGTGGAAAATCCAATTTGCCTATAGCAGCAAATCATTCCACTACATGACATAAATTTACCACTTTTTCCAATATGACATGATATCGACATGATCATAAAATCTTGCCTTTCATCAAAATTATTTTTTTTGAAAATATATCATTTCATCACTGTTGTCCCAAACTGACAAATTTTTGACATCATCAGGTAATTTTCGATATGAAACCCTTTGAAAATGTCATGATTCTCTAATAATTTAAAGTCAGTGAGAAACCGTCTAAAAATAAAAATTTGATTAAGTCTTATCAGTACTAGTATTGATATCGAAGATTCTTTACATGTGACGTTCTTTCCCCTTCCTCTAAATTGATTAATTAGTTAGGTGAATAACAACTTTTGCTGATTGGTATTTATGTTGTTTTTTAAACTAAGGTGCTTTACAACTTTACACAGACTCAGAGCTTTAATCATCATTTCTTTGTTCCATCTAATCGAACAAACAATTTACATGACTGAGCACAGTATTTTTCTGTGTTGATCCCATGACCTTCATCTGATCTTATGCTGATTTCTTTTTTGGTCTTTTTTTTTGTTACGTTTTAATAATTTCTCTTTTTCTTTCTTTTCCAAATATTATTTTTATCAACTTTTCATTCTTCTCTGACATGATTCGTTCTTTTGCCACTAGGATACTTTCTTTTTTTGCATCATTACCATGTGAAATCCTTTTTTGCTGCGCCTCTCGCAGCCAGCGTTGAAGGTTTGAATTTTGATTTTCTACTTTCCCAATATCATTTCTACGCTCTTTATATACATTATTCTCGCACAACTCTTTATTAATATTTCCACCGCCTCTTCTTCCTTTTAAGTTCGTTATTCAATTTATGTCTTTACATATTTGGGTTGTGGTAAAAGACGTTAACCAAAAAATATTTTCACCTATTAAATAAAATTCTCAAAAGAAATTTTTTATAAAGAAAATTATCTATCAAGAAAAAGTTCTGATCCAATGAATTTTCTATAGAAAAAAATTCTCAATGAAATTCTTTATCAAAAAAAAAAACTTAACTCTATTATTATAAAAAAAAAAATCTTCCCTATTATAAAAAAATTCTTCAATGAATTTTCTACAAAGAAAAAATTCTCAAAGAAATTCTTCATCAAAAAAACTCTCCTCTATAAAAAAAAAATGCTTTACCGAAATTCACTATTAAAAAAAATCTCTCCTGTTAAAAAAAATTATTATCTGTCAAAGAAAATTCTCTTTATTAAAAATTCTTCAACAAAATATCTATCAAAAAAAAAAACTCCTCTATTAAAAGAAATTCCCTTACCGTATCAATAAAAAAATTCTCTAACGAAATTTTTTATCAAAAAAAAAAAAATCTTTCTATCAAAAAAAAATTTCCCAGAGAAATTCTATCAAAGAAAAGCCTTACCTATATTAAAAAAAATAAAAAAAATTCTCTACCAAAAAAATTTATTTTATAAAAAAAAAAAAGTTAATAAAAAAAAAGAAAAAAAAATTCTTCACGAAATCAACCCGATGCTGATCTTTTGTCAACTCAGTACCCAGTTCTAACAAGCGGCATGCCATACAAAACCGCAGGACCAAGTGAGCATCTTTATCCATCATTATATAATCATTATGACGGTTTGAAATTTTATTGATAAAAAACCTAATAGTATTTATTTATTTATTTTTATTGTCTGTTTACGAAAAAAATTCTAAGTTTTTTTGGTCAATTTTGTTAGGTTAATTTGACGATTACAGTTAACCGCGCCACTTAGTCAACAAATTTCGGCGTAACCTGTTACACATCACACATTATAGGGATGGCTAATATAACATGCAAATACGTAATCAATGCGAATTTATGGCTAATTAATGTTCCTTCTTCAAACTCTCCCTTGCATAAAAAAACTCCATTTTTACTTTGCTTTTTGTATTTATTAAAGGTATCAGTCAGTGGAAATGTCACACTTGATATTTTTTATACTAATTATCATAAATTCATAATGTAAATCGTCAATACAAACATTGTATAATCTCTATCTATAAAAAAAAAGCATTGTGCGACCGTGACGTTAAGACTACCCTGCATAAAAAGGTGGATTTAAATTGGATCGTCCATCATCATGTGTCTGCGCCCTGTGCTACAGATTTTTATATAGGGATTCGGAGTGGCGCATCATTTGACATTGATTAGCAGCTCTAATCCCAATACAATTTTGAATTAGGCTGCATAAATGATTGGCGTAAAAACAAATTATAGCAACTAATCCAATTAGTACTAATTGTAATATAAAATATAAAAAATTTATTGAGCAATCGTCATTGTTTTTTTTAAAAAAAAGTTTTTTGGATTTTCCCATACGACACATTTTCTTTTTTTTTTTAAAAAAAATAAATATTTTTCAGTTTCTGAATTTTCCCATATGACGAAAAAAAATCCCTTTCTTTTAAAAAAAAATACACCTTTTCTTTTACATTTAATTTTTAATTTCTAATGCCTGCACAGCTCTCAAAGTAGGATTTTACCAGGGGGATTGAACATTTCTAATAACAGCAATTACAGGTATTTAATAACTATGCAAAAAACCAAAAAAAAACCCAAAAAATAAAGCTTTCTTTTTTTAGGTATCAGTGGTTTTCTTGGTTTGTCTTCAGACGCGTGGAAATTTGGTAAGGAAGGATTTAATACATTTCTTTTAATCAAACATTTCTAACAGTTTGATTTTTTATTTTTTTAGATAACTGAATAAGGAATAATTTATACACGAACAGAATTGTGGTGAGTATTTTTTCTTTGAAAAATTTTTTAACAAAACATTTACTAACATCATGTTTCTTCCTTTTTTATATGGTTTGTTCATGATTCTGGACGTGTGAAATTTTAGTAGGTTCTTTTAAAATGCTTCTTTTAACATAATGTTAGTTAACAAAATGTTTACTAATGTTTATTTTTGCATTCTGTAGGATGGTTCTTTGGCTCTTTCCAGACATGGAATTTGTAAGTGTTTTTCATTAATTTTTTTTATTTCTTAATGAAATGAAACATTAAAACTAACATTTTGTGTTCTATATTTTGTAGTTTAGACAGTACTGCAACACCTTGGACATATGTAAATTTTGGTAAATAATATTTTCCTAACATTATTTCTTTAACGAAACATTATTGATGATTCATTCTTTTCTTTTTTTAGTAGATGATCAATTTTTGAGAACTTTGGGTAAGTTCTGAAAATGAATTTTAAACTTTAAAAAATGTCACTAATTTAACTTTTTTTTTGTAGGGAACACCCCTTTTCTCTTTTTTAGGTTTTGGTGGTACCTTTCAGAGTGAAGGTTAGTTTGAATTATATTTTTAATTTTTTTAAAAAAATTCTTTTTCATAATTACTAATCATTTTTTCTTTTCTTTTTTTAAATTTTGGTACCTTTTTTTAGGTCTAATGATTCTTTGGATGTTTTTTAGGTTTGCCCAGCTTCCTAATGAACCACTATGACTATTATAATAACTATTATAATAAAAAATGTATTGCATATTATTTATACTGACACTCATTATCTGTTATACTTTGTAATGATTAATATTCCTATTAATATGTAATAATTTTTAAAATATTTCACAAGGATTGTGAGTGCTGTAAAATCACTACGGCATATGAAGTTTATACCGTAATATATTAAATCGTAGTAATGCCGTAATTATTTAATGCTAAATATACAAAAATTACACAGAGAAAGTAAATATTTTTTTTTTATTATGCCGAAGATAATTTGTAATCCGTAAATCTATAATGCTGATCTTGATGATTTGTTAGATATTTAAATGGTAAAATCCATATTTCGTAACGCCATAAATTCAATTCGGCAATTCCGACGGCGCCTATAAAAATCCCTTGCCATACACAGCCTATGATTCCCTATTTACCACAAAATTCTAAAATAATGCTAATAACCATTCTAGACTTTATATAACAGCTTAGCAGAAAGGTATCTGATTTTCATAATTTTAATAGCCAGGCCCGCGTAAAACGCGGGCATCCAGCTAGTGCATATATAAATAATAAAAATTACTTTAATTAGTTAAAAAATGCTGATCTTTAAATCGTAATTCTGGTCAAACTTTTCTTAACTCCGGCCGAAATTATAAGGCCGGCCCAAATTTAGTTAAATTCGGAAATTTCAGGTCAAAGGTAACACTGAAATTACACAATGAAACGCCTTTTTACAAAATAAGTAACGCAAGAGTACACGATTGAAACAATAAAATAAAAGTATTACTTTGACGAGAGTTTTAATTACATTCAGTTCAATCAGAAGCCTAAAGTAGGGGTATTTTAACAATGTCGAATTTTGACAGTTCTATACCGCGTCAAGAATTTAACTTAAAATATACTAGTGAAGATGACTTAACGGACAGTGACGAAGAAGTATTTGATTTTGATAGTAATTTTGAAGAATTTACCATTAGGTTTAGTAATGCATTAAGCGAAATGATAGCTCATGAAGAAGAAAATGATATTGAAATAGAAGTATATAAGGGTGAATATGATAGTGATATTGAAGAAGAATTAGGACAAGTTAATGTTGAACAGAATTTTGATAATAATCAAGAAGAGAGAGACGAAATAATACCAAATGATGAACCTATTAACCAAAAATACAATGCACTTTCATCTTGTGTAATTATTGACAATATTCATGGTACATTTAAACGATGTGGTGATACTTATAAACTTAGAAAAATGTGAAACTTACTTGGAACATGGCAAATAGATCAAGATACAGTTCAGGAAGTCAATAACGATCATTTAAAATTAGGGGTATGTGATTCACATTTTTTGTATGATCAAAACCAAATTCACGATCCTAAAGAAAAAGTACTTAAAGAATTTACAGATGCAATAGTTCAACATCGAAGATGTATAGGATGTAAAAGAATTTACAATTTTTTTAGTCGAGGGGAAGGATGTAGAACCCATTCTTGGTTGATTAATGAACGAAATATTCAAGTACCTTGTAATGGGGCAATACATTGTAATGCATTAAGGAATTCTTTTATATCAAAGCCTGCTTTTAACGAAACAAAGAAACCAAGATTTGTTTGTTGTGCTTGTTACGAACGATTGGGTGGACATATTCATAAACGTACTGGTCGAGGTAAAAGATCAAACTGTGTTCAAGATAAATTGCATGAAGAAGATATTACAAAAGGAATTAAACTAATTGCGAATTGGCTTAATAAATTTTCCCATACAGATGAAGAAACAAAAAAAGAAGATATTTTAAGATCTCTTGTTAAAGTTATTCTTCCTTTTATTCCCACATCAACTAAAACTACATCATTAACTTTAAACAATTTCAAATCGGATGAAACCCCTAGCCTTTTCATTCTTCAAATTCTCTTTCTTGATATACCCATCAGCAATAGTAAAGAATGTGATAATATAGACTGTGAAAAGTTTGGACGAGAATTTGGAATTAAACTTTGGAAATCATGTGAAGTGATAAATAAAAAAAAAGATTCATTAAACTCACCTGAATCACTTTTAGAATATTTTCACGCATTCCCAGATTTTATTACGGCGTTTTTTCAGGGATTGTTGATAGAAATCTTTAATCGAAAACTTGCTATTAGTAATAGAAAAAAAAAACAACGTGAACAAAAAAATAAAACTTTACCTGAAAATATAATTATAAAAATGGTTACTTTTTTCACTTCTGTTCTTGTTAGTATAGCCTTTCCTTCATGTGGAATTTGGTTAACTAATGTGCTGAGTAGTTTAGCACGCAAACCAAAATTATTATCATCACTCCATCGTCTTTTTACTATATGGAACGTAATTGGACATAGTGAACGTCATGAACGAAATCTAGAGAAAGACGTATTAATAAAGTTATTCCTACAGAAAGGTTATACCAAGCATCAAATATATGGAATCTCGCAATTATAGACAATATAGATTTCAAGCAAAAAACCTTTTCTTTTGGGAATATATATGACACCACTCGAGACACTTCACATGCGACCTTAAGAATGGTATTTCAGTCAACGATTCCCAATAATCTTGCATCACGTCAGGAAGAAATAATTACTTTAGATGAAAATTATGCCACTAATATATTTGGTATGAATTCTACTACGAAAGAAGCTCTGAATAGATTTCAAAATATATTAGAAAGATTGTTAGATATTTAAAGAATAAATGAAGAAAATATAGAATATAATCGAAATTTTGATGCTGAAACAATCAAAAAGGAAATATTAGCAGAATTTGAACATGGTTGTAAAGGTCCTTCTCCTCATGTTGTGATTCTTGAGCCAGCTGATAACCCAAACTCAGATCAAGCGATTTTAGAAGCTGCTAATATGTATAAAGCTGATTTTAATTTGCAAGAAAATGGATACCTTGATATCGTTGCTGATGAGGCAATCTTTCGCCAGTTAATGAGATGTCAAGCACAATTTCCCCAATTAAGACTATTGCTTGGACAATGGCACACCTCGAAGGACTTCTGTTCAGTTTTAATTGTGTTATTTTCTAGCTATGGGCTTTTAAATTTTGCGAGAAAATTGGGTGTTCGATTTTTAGATAAGTTTGAAGCTGCTGTTGATTACCGGACAACATCTAGAGTATTAGATCTTTTGTGGTTAGCAGTTGGAGTTGCAGTTAATATATTTGCAAAAAAAAAAATATTCCTTTGTCTGAAATAATGGATGGAAATAATGACACGAATATTTTGTTAAAAGTTTGGTATCTTTATTATCAATGGGCTGGAATTTGGAAAGTGCATCGAATAGGAATGAGGATTGGAAATCACAATTTGCAACGAGATGCTTTTTCTGCAGCCTCACCTCTTTTCCCAAGCGCCGGTAAATTTAATTATGCAGTAGCGATTGCCCAGCACCTTTCTACCTTAACCAAGTATCCAAGATTAAATGAGATTTTGCAATATGTTGGGGCATTCAGAATACCAAAGAACACTGATAACAGAAATGAAGATCAAAAACCTGTTTGTTTTGGCTTTGACGAAGCCCTTGAAACGTTTGGTGTTCATTTTATAAAACAAAACATTACTGGAAATGTTATTGATGAAGCAAAATTAAAGGCAAGTATTAAAGCAGCCCAATCAGAAAGGGATAGAATTGATCTACTCTTAAGCGAATATCTTGATGACACTTCAATTTCTCAGAGTGAACGCGCTATTAATTCCAGATGGGAAGTATTATGGAAGTTAATTGAAGACTTGGTTATTGTTTTTGATATGGTAGATCCGTTATCTCATGAAATTTTTAAAGATCTTGAACCACCTGAATTACACAAAGAGGGTATGAAAAATTGGTCGCGTGTTATAAAAATGGTTTAGAGCGAATGCAAGTAATTTATAAACAAGATGTGATAAAGATCGAACCTCGAAATGCAAAAGGAAGACGTGCTTTAGAAATTCGGAGAACGAGATACAAGGACTACGCTGAGAAAAAAAGAACTGGGAGGGAGACAAGGAGAAGGCAAAAGCATGATAAAGAAATATCCCAACCAGAGGTACTGTATACACAATACTTTATTGTGACCTTAACTCATACCTAATTTTCTATGCTACTTTAGCCACAAGTTGATAACCAGGAGTCCAAAAAACGAAGAAAAATACTCCCACATGAAGAACAAATATTGGGTCGTCTATTAGATTATAATGATAAGATTCCAGCCCATGTATATGATGAAATCCTTCAACAACTTGGAACTGAATGGGATAAGAAAAGGGTTTATAGTTGGTGGAATTATCGTGTAAATAAAAATAATTAATTAATTTATTATTATTTTGTATTATAATTGCAAAATTACAATAAAGTAATTAAAATATCATATATATAAAACAATAATTTGAAATTTTTACAAAAACTGTCGTTTAAACCGCCAATTCTTGCTTATGTTTTGTGTGAGATCGCTACGAAATACGTATATCTGGGTGGTATTCGCAAACTTTCAGGTGTGTTAATCAGTTCAATCAGCGGCATAAAGGTGAAAAAGTGGGTAAAGTTACGTCGCTAATATTTTTTTATATAAATATTTGAAGTGTTCCAAAAACTATAAAAATATGTAGTATAACTCATAAAGTATCACTGGTGAAAGTTTAAAAAATTTTCAATGTATAGTTAAATTTTGGCTCCGATATTAACTTCGCACTGTTTTAGTTACACGAAGTTTATTTGTTAATGATCGACATCAAGTGTGACATTTCCGCTGACTGGTATAGTCTTTTCTTTACGCTTTTTTGATAAATTTTTCCTGAAACATAAGAACGACTGATCGATTCTAACCGAAACCTAAATAAAAGAAAAAGGAAATGTAATTTTCTCTTGTGTTCATTCCTATCATACGAATCGATTCTTATTTTAAGAATTCCCTAACTGAATGAAAAAATAGTAAAAAAAATTTTTTTGTTTTTATTACTAGATTTCATATAGGTTATTTTAGGATATTTATCAGATAAAAACAATGATTATCCAGAATACAGTATCAGGAAATATATATATATATATATCTGGACAGCTAGATACAGATTATATTAAGTTTATATTTTTAATAAATATAAAATTTTTTAATAAACAAATTATATCAAAAAGCTTGTATAATAAAATGAAACTATTTTAATTTAAATCTGAAATGTCAAAAATCTGTATAAAATAAAGGAACAAAAAGAAATATCTTAACCTCCAGAACAATTTTATTTATTGGTTTATATTGTTTGTCCGACTTTACTGCTGTGAACAAATTGAAGTAGAAATAATTAATCACGTGATTCTAATTATTATGATCGGCTGATCTGTTGTGTCCAAATATCGGAATACGACTCCGAAAAATTTTATAAACTTCACTTATTTGAAATTTTTAAGCGTAATATCACCTTTCCTCTCTACAATATGGCATGCTCAAAAATATTTTCAGGAGATTTGCCTGAATTAACAAATGAAATTATAAAGTGTCTTAGGAAAGATTTTTCAACATTGTATTCATGTATTTTAGTTAATAGGTTATGGTGTCGTTTAGCAATTCCATTATTATGGGAAGACCCTTTTTGTATTCCTACCAAAAATTATCACTGTATTGAAATTTATTTATCCTCCCTGAACGAAAATGATAAAGAAAAATTCGATGAATATGGAATTATTAATAACTTATTACCTTCAAATACGTTATTATTCAATTATCCTAGTTTTATTAAATATTTAAATATAAATAGCGCTTATTATTCTATTACAAAGTGGCTTAGTTCTCTAGTGGATTATGATCATGAGAAGCTAGAAAAGCTAGTTTATAGATCATTACTTGAAGTGTTCATTGAGAATGGAGGAATTTTACGTTCTTTTGAAGTTGTAATGACTACGGATGCTTTTTGTATATACTTTGATATTATAGAATTGATTTTACAAAATCCAAATTTTATGAATAATATCAAAAATTTTAAAATCTGTATTCATAGAAATATAATTCAAAATACTATTATGAATACTATCATTCCCCTTTTAAAATTTTTATATTCTAATTGCAATTCAATCTCGTCATTTCATTTTTATTTAAATTTTGCTTCAAGTATTAAGAATGTTTCATTAATTGAAAAATATTTACAAGAAGTAATTATTTCACAACATAATCTCAAGATAATTTCATTTGGACGTCGTAATAATAATTTATATAATCCATTTTTATCATTAAAAAATTCTAATTGTTCAAATACTTTAAATACAATTATATTTCATTATACTGACTTTAGAAAGATAAATAATATTTTACAAGAAGTATTCAATCAATTGAATGTTTTAGAATCTATTCATATCCTTTACTGTTATTTGAATTCTGATTTTGTTCAACAAGTTATTAAGGTTACTAAACCTTTTAAATTGAGATCTTTATTCATGGATGAAATATTACATATTGAATCATTACGGTTACTATTACAAAAATATGGTGATTATTTAGAAAATTTTGAATTGACCAAATCACATACTAATTATACTAATGGATATGAAGAATCAAGACGACAATTACTTAAATCATTTATGAAATATTGTACAAAAATTAGATATATTAGTTCAGATAAACCTAATGACATTGATATTTATTCATTAATTGAAAATGTTGGACAAAATATTAATTATCTTACTATTCTAGTAGATAATTACAATTATCATACATTTTATGATGAATATAGCTCAATTGTATTACAAAATTTAGGACAAGTTCTTCCTTCTAAATTAGAATATTTATCTTTGTCACTTTCATTTAATACAAATGATTTTGAAATATTTTTGAAAAATTCTCAAAATACTTTTATTAAGAAATTATTAATTAAAAATACGATGAAAAATGAAGGAGAAAATGTCTTATTTTACATAAAGAAACATATTATGAAAAAGGAAAAAGTTAAATATTTAGCTATTTTATTAGAGACATTTCCTAGTCATAATGATGGTGAAGAATTGTTTTTTTTGAAAGATGAAGTAATTGAATTTAAATTGCATAATATTATAGTTCAAAAATATTGTAATTTACGTATTATTGGAAATGATATTGTTCACAATTTTAATAAATAAAATAACATGTTACATATTTTAATAACCTGATGTAATATTTGTTTAAAAAAATACAGTCTAACCTCAATATGCCAAACAATGGTTTATATACTGATAATTGACATATACTGATGTCCCGTTCCACTTAAAAAAACCTCATTATACTGATATTTTATATAATTTCATGATATAACATATATCGATACAATTCCTTAGTCCCTTTATAGTAATCCTTTACTTATTAATCTTAACTAGCATTAAAATACAGTACCTGTAACAAAATCAATGTTAAATCAGTTTAATAATGTAAAAGGCTTCCTTGTAAAGTTGAATTAGTATATGATATCTACTATGAACATAATAATCCAACCAAAATATATACAATATCTGATAGCACCTAGAATGCCCTATAAAAAAACTGGATACGTTTTTAATAATGTTTTTATACGATTTTTTCCTTAAAAATAACGTATCATAATAGTCTGTTGGAAGGATACGGGAAAATACACAATTCCGTATCACTAAGAATACAATTTGGATACGGAATTTGCATGGAACTCACACGGAATTCACATGATTAGGACACTGAATTTATGATGATTTTTAATGTAATTTGGTTACAAAATTTACCACTTAAACTACAGTTTATTGCTAGTTATATTATAAAAATTAATTTTAAAAATAATATTTACTAAATAAATACAAAAATAAAATAAAATGCAAATATATTATGAAAAGTTCTTTCCTAACTATTGCAAACTAAAACAAAAAGAAACTTTAAATTTCTTAATAGATAAAGATAAACCCACTTCTCCTATCTATCTATAAGTCTAGATTCATTCAAGTCTTCTAGAATCTAACAACCTAAAAAATGAAAAAAAGAAACATAAAAACGTTTCTTTAAACCAAACTTCCCCTGTGATCATCCCAAGTCTCTAAGAGTTGGCATTTCTAAAGTTTGGAGTCTTGTAACAGAAAGACCTACAAAAAAGAAAAAATCCCGAAGTATTCCACAAAAAAGAAACAATCTACAAAAAGAAACAACCCATGAAATAAAATTAACTCACGAAAAAGAATTGACCCACGAAAAGAAACAACCCACGTAAAAAGAATTGATCTACATAAAAAAGAATTGATTCACGTTAAAAGAGCTGACACATGAAGAACTGACCCACAAAGAAGAATCAACCGACAAAAAAAAATATATTCAACCTATAAGTCTAAAAAAAAGAATAAATATAAAATAAAAGAATTTTAAAAAGCCTAAAAAAAGGAAATAAAAAAAACCAAAATTGGAAAAAGAAGGTACTATTGAGTGAGGAATGAAAGAATAAAAAAAATTTTTTATAAAGGAAGGTTGACGGTTTTAGGAAAAGGAGGATGATGAATAAAATTAGAAAAATAAAAAAAATTTTTTTATAAAAATGTTATATTTATTTTTTAGTCATTTCACTTTTTTTTAATATACGCAATTAAAAATGTTTGTAACTATCATCCTCTAATCAATAAAACGAAAAGGATTTCACTGAATAAGTTGTTATAACAGATTGCAAATTTGGAACTATTAAATTTAACTTATTGCAAATTGAAAGTAAATATGCCTATAATTTTTTTAATTTTATCTAAATTAATTTAAAATTAAGACGCAATAAGGAGCGAGGCGTAGCCGCGTAGCTAACTACTGAATTTTCAGTGAAATGGCAAGGCGGGTAATTTTTCATGTTGGTAAAATGATATTTCGGTGAATGAAGCTAGGTAATTTTTGCATGTCGGTAAAATGAAAGCCAGAAAAATGGCGTCGGACGCCGTCGGTTATTTTCATGGCTGTCTAAATACCTACTATTAATTTATTACAGTAATTAGTATATTTATTCGTAAACTTTTGAACAGCATTTTATATTTCCTGTGTTAATAGAAACGAGATAATCGTTTTATAATAAAACAATCATATAAAAATATTCAGTCAGGATTTGCAAATACAATGAAGAATCTGTCTAATGGTTATGAGCAGATTTTAATTTATCAAAAAAAAAAAAAAAAAAAAAAAAAATTTAAGCATCAAGTATTAAATGCATCAAGGGTACTCGACGTAATACCTATGTAGACTTAAATGGTCATTGTATTTTTTTTTGTTTTTCTTTTATTTTGCAAGGTGAGATTCCAGTGTTTAGGTGATGTCGGCAGGTTTTTTATTAAGTTAATTAATTTAAGAAAAAAGAGGTTGAAATTTTTGTTATAGTTAACTTAGTAGATAGCGTAAAGGATTACGAAATACTATGGGTTTTCGTACGATTTTTATATAATACCGGTGGTAAACTGCCTTTTTTTGGACACCGACTGAAATTATCAAGCTTTTAATCGTCCTCTAACTTTTTATATATGTTTCGGGTTCTGTGTCGCTACTAAAAAAAAAATTTCTTTCGTATGATATTCAAAATTTTATGATGAAAGTGTATTATAAAGTTATATTCGGCATAGCGAAGCGATGATTATGAAAAAATTTGTGGTCACAGGCGTTTCTCTGACCATTCACGTACGAGATTATCAACCAATAAAATCGCAACTTTCAGTTATTTCTTTTTTGCTCCGGATTTACAACGGATAGTAAGTAGTACTAACCGTGAGATATTTAATAAAAATCCATATTTATTTATCGTAGTGGGAAAACAATTTTTTTTTTTTTTTTTTGCAGATTAACGGACTATTAACGGATCTCTGATAAATCTAGCTTCTATTTAAAAATAATTAACAAATCATCAAAAGTAATAAAGTAAATAATAATAATTTTAAACAAAACTACTTTGTTATAATCAACATTAAGGCCAACGCTATTAACAGAAAAATATTTTTTCGATAAATATTAATATAAATACTTTACTGAAACCTAAAATTTCAAACAATATCGTTAAGATTATCTTAACGACCCCATTTTTGATATTGTAACAATTTCTAATATCTTAACAACAATATCGAAATTATCGAAATTATATCGTAGTGATATTGTTAACGATATCGTTAAGATTATCTTAACGACCTTGTTTTGAATTTTGATATTTATTATAAGGTATCAAAACAATGTCGTTACAAATTACATTCGTAACGATAAGTGATATCGTGATGATATTGTAATGAAATTGTTTGATATCGTTTTGATATTGTATAGTAGCTATATTTGTGACGATATCATAATGATATCAAAATGATATTATTTTGATATTAAATGATATCGTTTAAAATAACGAGATTTCTGTAAAGTAGGTTTTCATATTTTAGAGGAAATGTCGAATCAAAGGGAAATAGAAGAAGTAGTGAAGAATCAGAATCCGAGGAAAATGTTTATTTGACTTTTCGGGTGGGTAATTTACATATTAGTCAAATTTATCAATTTCAAATTATTAATAAGAATCTAGTATTCATTTAGGTCAAGCGCTAATATAATATCAAAAATATTTTATATTGTCAAAAAATTATTGTGGGTCTAAAAGTAAAAAATAAATCCAGATAATCCGTTACTAAATATCACCAGCGGTGACAATCACTAGTCACTAGTGGTTAATTTTATAATGTATTAATGTAATACCGGCCTGTAGTTTATAATGCTGGTATGGTAACCATCACCACTGGTGAGCTTTAATAATACTTTATTTTGTAGATCGGTATTACAAATAAAATTCGTGCATTTATTTATTTAATTAAATTTGTCATTCGTGTCATTTACTCAATCAAATTACATGTATAACAGATAATTATTAATTTTAATTTCAACCGGAAATACGTTTCAATTTTTTGGAAATTTGTGAAAATGTAAACTTTCTTTTTTTTTGGCTCGTCAAAATCGTGGTTCATCAAAATCTCTACGCTAAGATTTCTCTAACGGAATGAAATTTTTTTATAAAAAAATATTATTTAATATCCAGGTTCAACCGGATATTAATCCGCGATTATTCAGGATCTCCGGAAAAAAAAATATCCGGATGAAGATCTTGTTACACGTGATCTAATGTTATGATCAGCTGAGCTGCTGTGTCCAAATATCGGAGTGCAACTCCGAAAAAATTATATAAATTATTTCTTTGTTTGAAAATTTTAAAACGTGATATTCTATCCCCTTTTTCCTTTTTACACTTTTTTTCACTTTTTACACTTTTTTTTCACTTTTTTTCACTTTTTACACTTTTTTTTCACTTTTTTCACTTTTTTCACTTTTTACAATATGGCATGTACAAAACTTTTCTCGGGAGATCTTCCTGAATTAACAAATGAAATTATAAAATACTTTTGGAATGATTTTTCAACATTACATTCTTGCATTTTAGTTAATAGATTATGGTGTCGTTTGGCGATTACATTATTATGGGAGAACCCATTTTTAAAGAATAATCCTAAAAATTATCACTTCATTGAAATTTACTTAAATAGATTAAACGATGATGACAAAAAAAAATTAGATGAATATGGAATTAATAATGAATTATTCCCTTCAAATACGACATTTAATTATCCTAGTTTTATTAAATGTTTAAATACACAAAAAGTTAGTTCTTCTATTAAAACCTGGGTTGAAATTAAAACAAAATTTTCAAATTTTAATCAATATTTTAAATTACCAAGTTTTATTTTCTTGTCATTAATCAGAATCTTTATCGATAATGAAGTTAATTTACATACCCTTGAAGTTGAAGTTTCATATACATTAGAAAATATAACTAATGATTGTTTTAAATCAGTTCTTCAATTAATGCTACGAAATCCTAAATTCACTGGTAAAATTAAAAATCTAGCAATTAATTTTAATAGATTAGCTAGTAATCTATTATCATATTTGAAACGTTTTAATCCTATTTGTAATTCAATTTTATCACTTTATATTCATTCCTCAATGGATGATTATGCTGAAAAAGATTTATCTAGAATAATTAGTTTACAACAAAATCTTGAAAAAATTTATTTTAATCGTAAAATTTATCCTTTAAAAAGTTTGAAAAACTCCAATTGTTCAAATACCTTAAAAGTAATTATATTTTATGACATTTATTTTGAGAATTTAGGAGTAAATTTTAATGAAGCTTTTGAACAATTAAATGTATTGGAATCTATCCATATACTTAATTGTTATCCTATAAATACTATGTTTGTTCAACAAATTATTAATTTGACCAAACCATTCAAATTAAAATCCTTATTCATGGACAAAAGATCCGTACCACATATCGATTCATTGAAATTATTATTACAAAAATCTGGTGATTACTTGGAATATGTCGGATTTGAATCATCAATAGATTATGAATTAAAATTACATTTATTCAAATTATTCCAAATTTATTGTATCAAAATCAAATTTTTGAGTTTACTTGGATTTGATGATAAGATTAGTTTTCCAGCACTTGATTTAGTTAAAGAATTCCAACACAATCTTAATTATCTTATTATTAATTTTTCTCAATTTGGTTATGATCAAATAAGTTATGATGATAAACTTAGTTCAATTATATTACATAATTTAGGTCAAATTCTTCCTGATAGGTTAGAATATTTGAGTATGGCACTTAAATTCAATATAAATGATTTGGAAGTATTTTTTAAAAATTCTCAAAATGTTTTTATTAGGAAATTATTAATTAGAAATAAGTTTTATCAAGAAAATGAAAATGTTCTACCCTGTATTAAGGAATATGTTATGAAAGAAAAAAGGGTTTCATATTTAGCTATGGAAAATCTTCCCGTTACTAATAATGAAAGAAGGGATCTATATTATTTAAAAGATGAAGTAAAGGAGTTTAAACTTTATGATATTCAAGTTAAAAAGTATAATTACTTATGTATTCAAGTTAGTGATTTTATAAACGAATCTTATTAGTTATCTTGGAGGTTTATTATATGGAATATTGGAATTGATTATGTGTTCAAGTTAGTGATTTTATAGACGAATCGTATTAGTTATCTTGGTTTATAGTTTTTTTTATATGGGATATTGGGATTGATGACAAAATGTTTGAAATTAAAAATTTTTTGCAAATAAACAATAAAATCTATTTCAAATCTAAAGTTTATGTAATTTACTGCTGTTCGAAATTTTTACTTTAAAATATGCAAACGAAATTCGCGTTAAATAACCTTATAATATTTTCAATGCAAAAATTAAAAATTCTAGTCCAAGTCCGGGTTTAAAAAGTGGGCTTTCGCGGAACTACTAGTTTTTCACTTTTTTTTTAGCAAAATTATTTTCCACGGTTGAAATGGAATGGCTTAACGCGGCTATCCCAATTAGCTTCGTACAACTATAAATCCTTAATTCTTTATCATCGAACTACCCTATAAAAAAAGAATGTCCGGAAAATGTCCAGGTGTCCGGAAAATGTCTGAAAAATGGCAATATTCCGGACGCCGAGACATTTTTAATTACCGGAAAATGTCCAGAAAATGTCTAGCCTGAATTTGTTCGCATAATATTATATTGTGATATTGTCATTTTAGCTACTATACTTAAAATCTTTCCAAGTATGAAAAGTAAGTATAAAAAAATATACTGTATATAGAGTATTATATATTCAAATGGTAGCTAAAAAAAATGCAAACCTATTGAATGACTAGTTTTATTATAAAATATTTTAATAATTTTTAATAACTTTTACACTACAAAAATTATACAGTTAAAAATTGTATGAATCCTTAAAATTTATTTAACGAGTGAATTGATTAATTACATTGATAATCATAAAGTATATTTTATTACAAATCATACTACTACGATTATTGTACTATATTTTTAAACCCGGTTTTCATAATTTTTTAACATTAAAGTAGTTCAATAATAATGCATGATAAAAAAAATGTTATAGAAATAAATTTCTTTTTCAATGAAATTTTAATATTTTATACGTTGGATCAATTAAATTAACTAAAGAATAAACTTTTTTATGCTCAAAATAAACAAATACAAATATGTATATATAAATATGTATATTTTTTTTAGGGAAATATAAGTCTATTGATGATTTTGAAAGCGTCTAAAACGTCTAAAATCATCTGGTTCAAGGTGAAATTTCAATAAAAATTTGGAAATTGTACATAAATTTAATGAATTTGCGAAAAGAAAGGCGTAACTTTAGGTCAACTTTGTTTGGATTCTAGCTTATGTAAGTATTAACCTTGAATTTTATTACATTTTAATATCATAACACTTTATTTAAAATTATATATACTTTTCACAGGAAGATAATATGGTTGTTATTCTTGGAACAAGAAAAGGTAAACATTTGGAAGAAAATGTTGGAGCAATAAAATTTAATCTTAGTTCTGAAGCATTATCTGAAATTAGACAAATTATTAATTCTATTTGAAATTGTTAGTGGTAGATATAATGACGCATAATTATTTGTATATATATTTGGTATTTTCAATGAATTAACATTTTCCTTATACAAAAATAAACATAAACATAAACTAACTTATTTCTTTTTACTTGTCTTTAAAATAGCTAATTTACTAATTATTGTATCCAATAAATCCAATAAATTAAATAAAATTTTACTTTTATGAAAATATGTTATGAAAAATTATAAAGAATTAATATATTTTTGTATAATTATGTGGAATATATATAAATCTTTATTGTTTCCAGGTAGTAAGAGTTAGTTAATTTTTTTCAGCTAGAATTGAGTAGAAGTTTGTTAACTTTAACTATATATTTATTACTCGCCTCATGAATAATGAGTAACGGGTTCAATCTAAAATATCAAATCTTTACGTGCTAATTTGCTTGATATTTATTAATTTATAAACAATTTCTATTTTCTCACAAAAAAGAAGAAAAATATTTTATAAATTTCAGATTTAAAAAAAAAATTTTGTTTCGTAAATTTACCACGACCGTTAGGATACATAGTATGTTTCATTAGTATCACTCTTACACTTGCTAATATGATTTAACAAAATTTCTTCGTTTAAAAGGGAATGACGGATTATTTTTGACCTATTTGCCATTTAAAGGTAATAATAAGTTAACATAAATTTGTTACGAAATAATGCAGTATGATATATAATTATTTTACAATACTATATTAGGGCTAATTATGTATTACCTAATTTAACATCCACTACTATATACCAATTATAATTAAAAAAGCTTCTGATTTAAACAAAATTTAAAATTTTAAAGATCCAAAATTATTAAAGCATAAAGTGGTTGGGAATGTATTGCAGAATTACGCTTCTATTCTTCTTTTAAAACATATTTGTGAATAGCTCTAACAATTTTATATATCAAATGGAAAAACTTCTAATTTATATTAGCTTTCTTCAAGCTTTTGACGCTTGTTATGTTTATGTTTTTCTAAGAAATCTTCTAAATTATAGTATGGCTGTTCTTCAATAATTTTATCAGCGGTAACAACTCCAACATCAGGAACAATATTTTTAATTTTTGTCAGTTTCGAGAAATTAGGATTGATATCTTCGGCAAGATAAAATGTGACCAAAGTATTCCTTGAAGTTGGTTTGGTCGATAACCAGGACATCTTCTGGTAACTGTTCATAATCAAAGTTACACCTTCGCGTAGTAACAAGAATCGTGATACAACAAGGATCGGGGTAAGAGTTTATTATGGATTCAGATTTTTTCACAAGACTTCAGATTCTTTATGTATTCTTTTATATCCTAGTTTTGTGAGTTCCTTTCCATCGTAGTCCTACTTGTCTTGCACTATCATTAGAGCATTAGAATTTTTAGAATTGTAAAGTATTTCCTAGCAACAAACGAATCTCCAAATGGGTCTCTTTGCCATTAACGATTATGGCATTCCTTCTTCCCATTTAATCAGTTTGTTGTCATATTTGTCTGATAAATTAAGACATGGAAACTGCTTTAAGGACTGGCGTACATTGAGATGCTTCAGCTTCACAGTTTCATTTAAAGTAACATATTTTCCATGTGCACCATTATACAGCTCCCTAAGAGTTGCCTCACTCTTATTTTCACATGCAATAAGCATGTTGTTGATAAATGCCTCATAATGTGCAAAAATAGCTCCCAACGTATAGAGTAGTTAACATTAAATGTTTCTCTGAGTTCTATTGGAGTGATTCCTAGGATATTATTATAAAAGACGACAAAGAAGAATGGCATTTTAATATTAAAGTGAAATGGTTAATCACTCTCTTCGAGAATAATACGTGTAGTCTCAAGGCTTTCAATAGTACGAATTTCATCATTTGGGTCTAGGCACTCGTCAGGGGTGACAAGCTTTTCCGTCATGCATCAATACAAGAGTTCCAGGGCTAGACGTTTATTTTCTTTTACGCTTCTGTATATGCCATATTTTCCTCAAGCGTGATAGTAGTTTCCTTAAAAATTTTGTCAAAATCTTGATCCTTTATATTGTGAAAGAATGCTTTACCATTCTTATTTAATTTATTACAGCAGGTACTAAGCATAAATTGTAATGCACGAGGTAGTCCTCCAGTGTCCCATAAAATTAGAAGAAATAGGTTACAAAGTTTCCAAATATGCTCGTCATCAGTTTTTTCTGCGCCACATTTCTCTGCATAAAAATCCACGATCTGAAACATAGATTTAGTTGTTAGCATTGGACACTTTATAGGTACTAATGTGGCCTTTTGTCGCTTCTCTTTCCCTGATAGCAGCTTGCTTTGCTGTTCCCAAAAGAAATTCTTGCACAAAAGTGAGATTACTTCCATTACCAATCATGTATTCCTATCATCTCATCCTGTGCTAGAATTTTAATTATATACTTAAATAATTTATCCTTTCGATCCTCATCCCATTTAAAAATCAGTTGAAACTCATCAATATGAAGAAATGCGAAAAAATCTCTGAGTGCCTTTGAAAAACAAACTTTTTCGAATACTTGCAAAGACGTTTTGGATATTGAGAATTTTGATGTAAGGTGAAGCCCGTTCCCGGAAGATCTCAAAACTTAATTCATATTTTTCCATGATGAAGTACTTATAGAGAATCAGCAAGCAAATAATCTTATCATTTTCTAGAAGCCGTAGAAGGTAATCTTGCTTATTGAGTTTGATGCTGTTTTCAAAGTCCAGGTGAAGGTATACAAAATGGTCAAAATGTTTCTTAGTAATCCTCCCCTTGTTGGCTTGGATATTATTGAAAAGCTCTTTACCAAGCCGAGTTTTACCTATATGCGATATTTTAGAAATAGATGAAAAACATGCATAAAATATTTGGATCATTCAAAAAAAAACCATACCTATCCCAGGTGCTCCTCCGCAAACCAGAATGTTGAAATCCAACTTATCATAGGTTCTTAAATGTTGCAACGCTCATGAATTATTCATCACATTACCCCTAACAATTTTAGCTATAATAGAGAGATCTCGATCTTTTAGTGGCATGTTATGCAAATTAAATTGTGAGGTATCGGTATTAGGTGCCAAGGGTGTGGAACCCTCCAGAACAAACTTGATGATATCCTCAAGACCTCAACTGATGTCAAGGGGAACAAGTGTGATTAAAATTGAATTCTGCCGTAATGTAACAACACTTTTACACAATCCTACCTGTTTTCACTGTCTCTTGTCCTGTAGAAAAACAACAAAAAAAGAAATTTACTAAGTCAGCAAAACACGTCTCAGCAGTGAAATAATGAACTGCGAATTTTTTGTTTGAGAGGTAAAACGTTTAGGAGACACTTACTAGCTTATATAAGATGTGAAGAGATCCTTTTGTCAGTTTGATTAAAATAATCAGCAAATAACGAAAAAGAATCCATCACCGGCAAAAATCTATAATCTCATCTTCGGTTTTACTTTTAAGTTCCATAAGGTCAAGTTCAACTTTCAAAAGATTCATATTTTCAGAATTTTTTTACACGTTGCTTACGAAAGAGTTGCTTTCTGAAATCTGAAACGGTGAAGTCTTCAAAGGGAATACCAATACCGTCGTCATTTGTGTAAGTTTCGCCAACTTTTTCCGTGAAACGAGTTTTTGGTCCTTGAATTAAGCAATTTAGCGACAATAACATTTGATGTTAGTTCTTTTGAAATTATCGAACGATTTCGTAATTTTAGAAATTAGAGGGTATATGTCTATCGTGTGATTATTTGGTGATGCTTTATATTTTATCCTGTGATAGTAAAATTTTAGGTAAATAGATAAACTGTACTGTACGGTCAGCTAAACTGTACTGTACGAAAATATTTTAGCCAATCATAACTCATTGTATACTTATCAAATTTTTTAAATTTTTTTTATTTATCGTACAGTAAAATCTGATTGGTGAGTTCTCACTTCGTACAGTACAGTTTAGCCAACCGTACAGTACAGTTTATATGCATACTCACAAGAAAATTAAAAGCAAAGTATATAAATCAAAATTATGAAAGAAATAATATACATATGAACCTATTTGATGAAGGAGAGAAAAATTCGAAAAATAGTTTAATTACATGGAACAATAATAAAAGAATAGTGATTTTTGCGAAAGATAAAAAGAAATCGCAAAGTAAAAGATATAGAAGAATAGGATATCATATGATAATATCTAATGAAGAAGATGATGATTCGCCATATTTAGTAATTGTGAAGGGTGTGAGAGAAATATTGGTAAAAAGATATAAGAAGGAAAAAAAAGGAATGTTTGATCTATATAGAAAATGAAGAAAGTAGAATTATTAAAAAAAGAAATGAAGAAAGAGGAATAAAACCATATGAATCGATGAGAAACATAAAAATGAAAAATGAAATTCTAATAGATGATGAGAGAGATCAGAATTATAATAAAAGAATTGAAATGATAAATGAAATGATAAAGGCGGATCAAGGTTTTATCGATATTTTAAAAAAATAGTATAATCGAGACGGATGCCAAAGATAAGAGAAGAAAGAGTGTTTATTTGATAATAGAGTGTTTAAAAAAGAAAATAAAAATATCGGAAAAAGGAATTAAATTTATATAGTATTTGGTGATATGGGTGTTAAGAGATAGAGATTTTAATGAGATTAGATTTAGTGCAAAGTTTGAAACTACGAAAGAGGATGAATTTAAAGTTCTTATAAGAAGTTTAATAATAGGTATGATATTAATAGTAAACGGGAGTAATATTCTTTTAGGAATTGATGAGAAAGTTAGAAGGTGTTTAGAAAATTTTATGAACAATTAGGTAATAGGAAAAGAATAGATGAAGAATATTATTTAGAAATGTTGATGATTGAAAAATTTTTACAAGAGGAGAAGATGAAATTAGATATTTTTGAACATCCAGAATTAAAAAATGAATTTATAGAAGAAAAAATGGAAAAACTTTTATTAACATTAAAGAAAGAAAACAAATCTTTTAGTGGTGTAATAATTAAAGTGTACAAAATATTTTTGTTTCGATTATCATTCGAAATAAAAATTATGAAGGAACTAATAATTGTTATAGTCTGGAACGGATAATGAAAAAAAAAGAAAAAAATTTTTAGTTAAGAAATTAAATGTAAAGAAATTAAATGTAAAAATTTACTTAACTATGAAATACATTAAAAGAATAAAAAATTCCTTTTTTTTTATCAAACCTTCATAGTTCATACAATATATAGCATAATAAACTACTGTCAATACTCTGAAATTATTGATTGGTTATTATAGTCATAAAATATTTATTGTAAAGTCAAATTTATTTAAAAGTTAATAATACGATTTTTACAAATAATCACAAATAATTCTAGAATATGACTAGTACGTTTAAGTTCACAGCTTAACCTTAAGGCTGTTGGCTGTTTGAGCAAATTGAAATTCCTACTTTTATGTTATAGAAAAAGAATTTTGATCATCAAGTAATTTACAATAAAAATTTTGGGAATTGCTAACCGTCGCTCGCCTGGGCGATTGTCGCCGACTTAGATCACGTGACAGATTTAATATTTTTGATTTTTTTTGATTGGCCAGATTGGCCACATGATCGCGTCATGTTTCAGTTTCCTCGGTTTTTTCGGTCTCAAGGTATTTTTCTTTTCTTTTATTTTTATTTCTAACTTACATTCTGCTTACACTTTGTTTCTTACTACTCTATTTCATTATTTTTAGGTCCTTTAGTCCTTCCGGTTCTGCAATTAAGGTTCAGTTATTTTTCACTTTACGTTTCGTTTCTTACTTATTTTTTTTATTTTGTTTCTGTTTCATATTTCGGTTTTCAATAATTTTATTTCATTTTTTTTTTTAGATATTTTAGTTCTTTCGGTTCTACAATTAATAAGGGTATGTTTTTTTATCTTTTATTTATTTTTTTTTTTATTTCGCTTTTATCTTATATTTCATTCCTTACTAACTATTTTTTACTTGGTTTCCTATATTACCTAACCTCCTATCATGATCATTTTATTACTTCTCATTATTCCATCCTTTCGTCTCCCGTTATTTTCTATTACAACTTTTCATTTTCTATTATCTCTTTTTCTCTCCTGTTTACTTCCCATCATTTCATTTTGCCTCTCATCACTCCTTTTCGTCTCCCATCAACTCCTCTTCATCTTCCCATCACTTCTTTTCGTCTCCCATTGCTTCTTTTCGTCTTCCATCACTTCTTTTCGTCTCCTATCACTTCTTTTTGTCTCTCATCACTCCTTATCGTCTCCCATCACTCCTTTTTACCTCCCATCACTCCTCTTCGTCTCCTATCACTCCTTTTCATCTCTCATCATGTCCTATTTCTCCTTTTTGTTTCCTATCATTTTTCTTACTCTTTTTCGTCTTCTATTACTTTCCATTACTTCCATTGTTGTTTCATTTTTTATTAGCATCTATCTTTCTCCTTGATCATTGTAATTTACTTATCTTTTTTATTTATTGTTATTGTTTTTTTTATTTGTATCGCTTCATTAAAAATAAATACGGTGATTTTTTTCTTTAAAATCGTAAATGTGTGACTTAAATTTTAATATTTGCAAATAAAAATAAAATTTCATTATTTTGAATAAATATGTTTGCAAAAATTTTTTTTAAAAATATCTTCGCAATAAAATTTTAAGTTTAACCGATCAAAAGTTAAAAAAATCAGCCATCAGCCGATTTACTATATATTGTACATCATGTGACATATTTGAAAAAAAAACCCAGGCGATGATCGGTTAACAATTCCCAAAAATTTTTATTAATTATTATGAGAATTATGTACTTTATTATATACAGTATATTGATCATGCACATAATAAATTTTGTGGAATTAACAAGAGGTTATTGTAAAAAATTAAAAACAAATTTATTAATATAGAACGTGTGCACAATATCTTGTTATACTTTCATGAGGTTGATTCTTTCAACTTATTTTAATAAATTCATGTATAAAGAATAATCTGTCATGATTCTATAATGTTTATAACATAAATTTACATTAAGATACTTAATTTTCGCCTAAATCAATACATTTAATAATTTGAATAAATTTATTAAAATTATTTTTAAAAATTACAAACTAAGAATTTTGTAAAACATTTACTACTCTAGTCCTAGTGTTTAAATAATCCATGATAAATAAATAATGTGATAATAATTTAAGATATAAAAAAAAAAATATTGTTAATTTGATTTATTAAAAGACAATTTAAAATCCATCTAAAAGATAAAAAATAGATTAATTATTTGCTTTATAAAGAAATTTATTTTTCTACTTTATTTTAAGAGCTTACCATCAGGAATTTCCAGTTCATCTTGTTCTTTTGAATGAAGGTTTGGATTATTATATACTTCGTCATCATCTGTAATAAATAAGTAAATATAATTAAAACAGTATTAAAATCGTTCGCTATTACGTAAAATTTTCACCTACCATCGACATATTTTTGAGTTTTTTCTTTTTCGTCATCTAAATTTTAAATAAAAGTCGCGTTAAATAAATGAAATTGATATAGTAACTTTATTTGTTAGTAATTTACTTACCATTTGACTTTATTTGCAACTTTTTAAATAATTTAGATAATTTTTTATTACTATCTAAAAATTAAAGATATAGATTTAACATATAAATCAATCTCGATTTGAAAATAATTAAAATATATTACCTCTAAAAATAGTAATTTCTTTTGATGATTTGCTACTATTCTGCTCATTTGATTTATTAAAGTCGTTAACTAAAATAAAAAATTAATCATTATATGATAATTAAACGCTATAATGTTATTAAATACTTACTATTGTCAGGAATGTTAAAATCATACAATTTACTATGAAACACTATTAGCAGTAAAATAAAGTATTTAAAATTAAATTATGATAGTAACCAAAAATGGCAGAAATTATTATTTATACGGTTATACCTTCTTGTTCTTCTATTATAATAAAAAGATAACATTAATAATGTATTTTAAAATAAATATATTCATTAATAAAATATTATACACTTATACCTTCTGTTGCATTTCTCGGTTCAGGTAGATTTTCAAAGTTGTGAATTTTACTTGTAAATAATCTGCTACTCGTATAATTTTCTTTCACTTTATTCATTTCTAACTTATCTATTTCCGATTGAAATAATTCATCCGACATATTTTGATAGTGTAAATTAATTCTGCTCATTTTATCCCAAAGTGTAGAAATATCAGGTCTTTTTAATGGATCAGCATCCCAACATTCTTTCATTAAATTTTTATATTCTAATGGAGTTCCCGACACAATTTTTGGCCTTATACCATTAATAATATTCATTGCAAGATCATAATCATGTTCATAATTTATAAATGGTGTTTGTCCAGATGAAATTTCCCACATAAGAATTGCAATACTATAAATATCAGATGCAAAAGTATATTCTATTCCAAAAATAACTTCGGGTGCTATATAAGGAAGATTTCCATATATACTTGTTGAAGATTTATCAGCAGGTCCACAAAATCCAAGATCACTAACACACCAAGAATTACTTAATTGTAAATATAATATATTTCCAGAATGCAAATCTCTATGAATTGCTTTCGCTTCATGAATATAATAAAGTGCAACAGTTATTTCATCAATAATTTTCATTCTATCTTTCCATGTAAGTTGATTATGATTTTGTTGTAAATATTTTCTTAAATACATATACATTTTCTCTATTACAAGCATATAATTTCCATTTGATGGATTTTGCGTTAAACCATAACATCGAACAACAACCGACCATTTATTACTTATAGTTAAATGTGATTTAGCCTAAAAGATAATAATTTGTAAGAATACCAGTGCTAATACAAAAATTACAATAATTTTATGAAATATAGAATACAATAAGACAAACCTCTTCAAACCAACTTTGATTTGCACTTTCAACATTTTCTAATTTTTTTAATATTGCGTCGCAATTTCCAATTCTTGTTAATTGTTTTTTTTCAGAATCCCATTCTTCATAATGTCCATTAATCCAATCTGCTGTATAAATTTCAGAAAATCCACCTTTTGTTAAATATTTAATATTTTTTAAATTACTATATGGAATCCATTCAACTATACTATTCGGCATGAGTGATTCCATTTGATTGAATTATCAATATCATCATTTCCAGATGTCCAATTTGAAAAATCTTCTTTTAAATAATTTCGAACACAATATTCACAATATAATGTGGCTAAACATTCTTGCTTACAATTTTCACAAATTCTTTTTGTACCATCATTATCCATAACTTTATTTCGATCATAATCTTTAGTTAACCATCTTATTGCATAAGTTTTTTCATCATTTGTAAGGATTTTATCAGCAAGGACTGTTTGTTTTTGAAATTCAAATTGTTTGTGTCTATCATTGTAAATATTAGTATCTGTTAATGTTACTGCTCTATTAAGTGTCGCATGAATTAACCCCTTTCGAAGAGTGGACATAATGTAATCAATAAGAAAGAGAGAATGAATGAATTATTTTAAATTCATTCACTTGATAAATTAGTAAAATGCAACTTGTTGATCAAAATTTCATGTTGTCCCACATAAATTTTGTGACCTTGAGGCGTAATATTTTACGCCCATAACCAAAAAAAGAAAGAATATTACTAACCATTTATTATTATACTTTCTATACTTAGTATAATAATTTAAAATTAAAAATTTATTTTATAATAAATAGATATTATCCTTGGTTATTGATTAATTTGATAAACAAAATCAATGATTGTTATTCAATATATTATATTAATTTGTTGTTATTTTTAAATCTTATTTAAAAAATCAATATAAACAAGAATACATGATTGATGAAAAAGTCAATTTAGTTATTTTCAATTGAATAAACAACGTGGCGAATAATAAACATGAAAGATTATAAGAAAACCATTCAATTTATTATTTCTACTAAAAATATCCAAGAGAAGAAATTCTGTAGAATTATAATTATTATTTTTTTTTTTTTAGGATGTTGATGGATCACAAATATATGTTTAAATAAAAATATATGGTTTAATAAAAAAAATGTTTTAATGAAAGAAATTATTACGTAACGATTTAGTGTAATAATAAATAGTAACAGGTAAGGAATAGATCAGGCGCAAGTATGTCACAGGGTTTTAATATCATGGCCCGGGTTTTCATGTTACACAATTCAAATTATTTATACATTATGAGATGTCGTACGCGGTACGGCGGTACGCTGTAGCAAATAAAAGATCGGCAGGCCGGAATTACACCCCACCCACCCGATTGACAAAAGGAGCTAATCTTATATAGTTAGTCTATATGTGCTTAATTAAACAATTATTTAATAAAAAGGAATGATTTACATGTTCTTTTTGTTCTTTTGTTGTCTTTTTATGGAATACTAAATAAATTGTACAGCTCCGAAATTGATACATTTTGAAATGAAAGCAAACTCCTTTACCAACATGGCATGCTCAAAAATATTTTCAGGAGATTTACCTGAACTAACCTATAAAATTATACAGTATTTTAGAAAAGATATTTCAACATTATATTCATTTATTTTAGTTAATAGATTATGGTGTCGTTTAACCATTCCATTATTATGGGAAGATCCATTTTCACTTCCTACCCAAAATTATCGTTGTATTAAAACTTATTTCTGCTTTTTAAATGAAGATGATAAAGCAAGATTTAATAAATATGAAATTAATGATAATTTATTTCTTACAAATCCATTATTCAATTATCCTAGTTTTATTAAATACTTAGATATAAGTAAAATTTGTCATTATATTAAATATTGGGTTGATACTTTAGTAGATAAATCCGATAATAGGTTAGGAAATTTAGTTTATAGTTTATTATTTGAAGTGTTCATTGAAAATGAAAGGAATTTACATTCTTTTGAAGTTGTACATCCTAGGTCTTATGGTTATAATTATTTTGATGATAATATATACTTGATTTTACAAAATCCAAATCTTATATATGATATCAGAAATTTAACATTCCATATTTATAATAATGATTTATATCAAAATATTGCATTTTTAGAATTTTTATATTCTAATTGCAAATCAATCCAAATCAACAGGTGTTACTTAAACCTGTATGGTATGGTTTTTTATGTATGTACTGTATGGTATGTATGGTTTTACGCAGTATAGTTTTCAATCTATGTATGAAAATCCATACAGACTTGCAATAAACCATACATGTATGAATTTTTAGCATACAAAAAATAATAATACATGACAATCTACTTAAAAGTTATTTATTTTAAATAATTACAAATACTTACATCATTAAAACATGCCATTGGGTTTGACCAACCTGAAATATTGAAAATGGTAGCTACTCCCTGTGGTGAAGTTTTTGGGTATTCAATAGGAGAGGCTGAATAAATGATTTCTGAAACTGAAAGATGTTTAGTTAAAAATGCCACTTGTTCATCTTCATCATTATTATCCTAAATTAAGTTTCAAAAAAGTTATCAAGTAAACTTTATTCAAACTTATCAATAAAAAATGTGATGACAATAAAAATACCTGGTCATCTACTAATAATCTTGGAGATTCATCTTCAGATATTGTTTCATCATCAGATATTGTTTCAATATCTGAAAGAATAAGTGGGCTGACTTTAGACAATCAAAAAATAGTAAAGAAAAAGAAAAAGCGCGTTTACGCGTTTGCATTTCTTTAATTTATATTTAGAAATATATTAAATAAAGAAAATAAAGAAAACAGTCAATTTTGGCAATGTTTTTGCAGGGTGAATGTAATATAAATACTATAATTAGTCAATATGAGTCATTTATAAATTTCCAAATAAATCTTTATTACAAAAAAAAATTAATAATATATATATTCGGACTGATAAATGAGAACCAATAAAATTTATCTCCTCAATTATGTATGCATTTGTGTTCAAAACCATAGGGTATATAGCAAACATGTATTGTATGGTTAGCTTTGTATGTATTGTATTATTATAACTTTTTAATGTATGTATGATCTTTTCCCAATTATGTAT